GAGATAAGTGAGCCTAACACAGCATGCTCATCTAGCGGAAAGAGGCCTGTTTTTGCCCATCCACTCGCAATATTATCCTTCGTCATGGTTTTACCCCAGGCGGCCCAAAACAAGCGAAAGAAGTCTCTTTTCGTAATAGAACAGAGTCCTTGACTCTGGAAGATGAAGCGATCGAGTTCCTGGCCGTAATACGTCGCGAGGGGACTGAAAAGACTAACGTCAAGTGGCTGAAGACGATGTGTCGTATGCGGAGGAAAAGTACAGACAAGAATTCGATGCTGGTCGCAGAATCCGAGGAATTTCATGTTAATATGGCTTCCATGCCCATCCACGAAAAGAAGACGATATCTTAGACGCGCCTTTGGCTTCGTTTGGGGCTCAAACACGGTGCTAAGCCACTGGAAACCTAGCTCTTCGTTCGTCCAACCTGATTGAGACGATGTAAAGAAGGCCGAATGTTTAGAGGTATCGAAGTCCTGTATCCACGAGTCCTGTATGTTCCCAGAAACCGCCTGGTATATTAGGGCAGGCGGAAGATATGTCGTATCTGCACAGATACATGCCAGAATCGTGATCCACTCTCGACTTCCATCTGTCGTAGCCCCCTTCACCTTTCCTGCGTCCCAGGCTTTTCTGGAGATAATACGCCTCATCTTTGTTCCCATTCCGATTAGAATGCCCTTCTCATCCATATTGTATGTATTCTCCGGAAGGATCTCGTATCGCGCGATTTTTTCGCGTAGGAGCGCGTAGAATTCTTGAAAGTCTTTGGTTTTATCAGCGGCCGTACGATTCCTGTCGACGGTGTGGAGATATCGCGCGTGGAGTTGTGCTTTGTTCCTTGAGATGAATCGGGACACCCAATTCTTTCCGACCTCAGATTTCGCGATTTCGCTCGCGAAATTACGCACCATGGCACTAGATGGTGGAAAGCCTTTGTAGCAGAGGTCATTGATGTAGGAAATAAGGTGTGTTTCCTGATGTCTGTCGAGTATTGCCTTCTGGTCTCTGAAATCCTGTCGTGATCGAGATTTACGACGATGACGCCGAGACAAGGTGGACCGGTCGATTCCATAGTTTCTAGCTATTTCAGCATAATTGGGATTCTCTTGAGAGTCTGCCTCTCGAAGAGCGAGATCAATAGGCTCCATTTTGATGGAGATAATGAAGTTTGAAGATGGGAGGATTGATGGTGGAATTCGTGCAAGGAGTGGTGCCGTGCACGTTGTGGGGAAAACCCATACATGATATTGTTGCAGACATAAATGTCCTGCAAACCATATATTCCGTACATCTCTAGCGATCGGTTTCTTGGATCTCGGTCCTAATCTTGTTCCAAGCTTCTAGCATGCTGCATCAAAGACAGGGGCAGTCCAGGGACACTTCGCCGAATTTCCCCAAGATGGTTAAGCAGGCGGGGAGCGCTACTATGGTTCCCCCTGTCCTTCATCTACCACCAATCGAATCCGGCTGGGGCCGAGGGACAGCTCGAAGCGCTACTGACAGCACAACAACAACAACTCGAACGAACCCGTCATCATCAACTGATCAACATTCGTGATCGAAGACCACCTTGCACTTGTCATATTATTTCCCCCACTCAACTATTCTATTGCCGGACACTTGAATTTCACTTCTGAACGGCATCCTGCTGAGTTTCCTGTCATCATGTCCGTCAAGTTCGAGAAAGAAACCATCCGCAGCAATGTACCTGTCTCTGCTTCAGGTGCGGCACGCGGCGGCGAGAAAGGCGACCTGGTTCACGAGGTCGGAGCAGCCCTGACTAAGGCTGGCGGACCTAAAGGCTATCTTGCTGTACGTTTGAAGCGCGTTGTCCTGATGTTGGTACCTATACGGAGGCTGACCCAAATCGATTCGCAGGCATACCTCCAGCAACTCGGATCGCACCCGCTGCGCACGAAAATGTTGACGTCCGGGACGCTGTCATCCCTTCAGGAAATCCTGGCATCATGGATCGCTCACGATAAGAACAAAAATGGACATTACTTCACTTCCCGGGTGCCCAAGATGGGCATATATGGTGCATTCGTCGCGGCGCCAACCGGACATGTGCTGTTCTGGCTGCTGCAGAAGATCTTTGCTGGAAGGACGAGCGTGAAAGCGAAGGTCCTGCAAATCCTCGTGAGCAATTTGATCGTAAGTCGTCCCATACACATACTAGAGGGTGGAGATGCGCAGAATTGGTTCGACTAACGATCGGTCAGGTCTCCCCGATTCAAAACACCGTCTATCTCGCATCCATGGCCATCATTGCGGGAGCCCAGACCTTCCATCAAGTGCGAGCCACGGTCCGCGCTGGGTTCATGCCAGTCATGAAGGTCAGCTGGATCACCTCCCCCATCTGCCTGGCCTTTGCGCAGCAGTTCCTCCCCGAGCAAACCTGGGTGATATTCTTCAATCTCGTCGGTTTCGTCATCGGCACCTACGTCAACGCGCACACCAAGAAGAAGAGACTCGCAGCGCTTCGCAAGAAGCACTATGGCGGCGATGGACGGAGCTCCACCGGTAAAGGCGACGACTATGATCGACGTGGCTATTAGATATAAGAATTGGTCCACTAGGTACCGATTAAGTCTACGATCTGGCTTCACCAAAGCGAAGGCCGAACGCAGAGGACGCCAATTCCCGTGCATGACTGCGTGGGGCACCCGATAATCATTTAGACGGCAAATCTTGCGCTCAGGTTGGATATTGCGTCGGTACAAATAATGGATAAGGAGTTTGTTTCGCACCATTTCAGGGTTTCACTAGCGGCGGCTAGTCGGCTACCCATAAATTTGCTTGTGTTGGGTCATTGGAATCAAGTTTCAAGCGTCTTGCTTTATTCCCGCACTCTCTGTCGTTGTCTCATATTTAGAGATGTACATATGCCGATGTATCTTCCCTCTCTTTGGCTGGAGCATCTCAATCTCATAAACTCGACCAACATACAATCTTGCTCTTTACGCCTACCACCATCCTTGCCTCCTGGACATTGGCAGTCGGATGATATTTTTCTGCTGACCGAGGTTGACACAGTAAATGGGAAACGGAGCCCAACTGTGATGCCCTGGCTTCGAACCAATGCATCCAACCGTTTTCACGCCTCGTTCTCGACCTCCCGTACATGGCACTGCCCAAGCAAATACGCTTGCTCTGTGGATTAGTCGGCTTGTTCCGTCCCCAACCCGGCGAAAATAAGTCTTGTGGCTACATCCTAGCCATCCACTGTGGCTTTCCAGGGCCTAAGACGGACACTATCGTCGGCGGACGCCCTCGATGATTCACATGTGCACTTGGCGTATTCCACCGCTTATACCGGTATCCAGCGCAAACGTTTGCCTAGGCCGGCAGAGCCAACATCACGGCCCGCTGATGTCCAAAACGCGGGACGGGGGGTCCGTAGAGACAGCGCGACATGTGCCGTCCTCTCAACCCCTCACGCACAGGACGAATGAAACGGAATGTGAAACCAGACGTGAACAAACTTGCTAAACGCCAACCGCGGCCTGATTGACGTGTTTTGGGATTGGTGATTCGCAACTAACTCCCGTCCCGAATTTGAACTACGGCAACAGACAAACGGCCTATAGTCAGTACTTCAAACGAATATTGTGATGAGTCGTTCTTCATTGTTATTTTGGCATATATATGCGATCGCTCTCAACGACGTCTGCACGATGGTACACCTTTTCGCTACATTATTACTCTGTCTCTCCCAAGTCTCTACCATCATCAAGTTTCACTAGTGGAGATTGATCTACCATCTTCAAAATCTTGAACAATATGCATCCCTTCGACATGGGGATGGTTCCCTACGAACGCGAGCCCTTCCCACGTCCGCCGTTCTTCCCTAAGCCACCACCACCACCAAGGAAACAGTATGGGGTGGACATCGCGACTGCTGTACTGGTTCGAAATCTTGAGAGGCGGAAGGCTTACATGGCCAGGGTTCTTCGCAACGAGCGCGGCCGATTCGAGGCCACGGCCGAGTTCAATCCGAGGATTTTGACTGACCTGCTCACGATGATCATGCGCCGATTGGATGAAGCCATCTTCGGCAGCCGTATCGGACCTGGCGCCCATGTGTCGCTCTCAGACAACGATGAGACCTGCGGCACCTATTCATCACCGGCGCTGCCAAGGACTCGAGGAGAAATCATCGTCCTTCGCATGAACCCTTTTGTTTTGGCAGATGCGGTCATTGCGAATCTTCTGCACCAGATGATTCACGCGTACTTTTTATCGGTCTGCCCGGAAACCCATGAATCCGACCAGCCGGATCTGCGTCTCGAACACGGCAACCAATTTGCCAAGATTATGTACGAGATCAGGGCGCTTTCAAGGAGCGCCTTCGGGAAGGAGTCGCCTCTCGGAATGAGCATCTCCTTGGACCGCAGGCATTCAACGCACGAGACCATGAAATGGCAGCGAGGAATCCACGACTCGTTTGACGATATCCGTGTCTATCGCCGGAGAGTTCGTGAGGTCCGCTCGAATTGTGCGGAAGATCAGAAACCGATCACTAGGTCCGATGCCAACAAATGGTACAAAGAAACATGCCTTCCCAAGTTCGAGACGCATTTGAAGTGCAATTCCACCACCATGACGAGGATCGATGAAGACTTAAACGAGACCGTTGTCCGCCGGACTCCCACCACCGAGTCAGACGATGTGGAATTCCTGTTTTTAGACACCAACTTCGTCATCGACCGCGGCTTCATAGAACCGCATCCAAGCTTGAAATGGATCTTCAACGATGTACGAGCCATCTCCGCCCCCACAATGGATCCCCAAGTGTTTAGGAACATGGTGCACTTCATAATTAAAGAGTCATACTTCCCCGATCACTCGAAACTGGTTCTCCCCGGCGCAGCGCCCACCGCAACCGCACCGCTGGCAGATCCATTCGCCAGTCATAACCCAGACATGGCGAATGTGATGGACCGTACCGTCGGACTACACTCGAAGTCAGTCCCTTTCCTACCCTTTATTCCACCAACGTCGACACCTCAAAGCGGTCTTCCAATCCCATATGCCGGCGTCCTACCCTTGAGCCGTACACCTCCGATCGACGTCTGCCCCCCGATCCTCCTCCCCAACAGCTTCTCTCCCGCCGCACCAATGCCGCTGCTCGCGGACATCCAAACTTTCCACCTTGCTGTCGCCCTCGATTTCAAAGAGTTGCAATTTTACGCCTTGGGACGGCTAGAAACGCCTCACGTGGTATTCGACGATCCGATTCCTCTATTTGAAGAAATCTACCAATCGGCGCTCAACCCTACTCCATTCCTTCAACCGAGTTACGAACTTCGGGACTGGGCCCGCCGCTTCCTCGCTCGCCGCGACGAGACAACTCTGCGAGCTCAGGTCGGCTGCAGCGTCAAAATCCATATGGAGATGGCTATGCGGGAGCTCTGGGACAAGGATCCGCATCGGTTCGAGGCCGAGTTCCCCAAATCCCGACCACCGCCACCGAGGATGAAGATCGCTTCGGGACAAACACTGGCCCCGGGGAGCCTTTGGGCACTGACGCCACTGGCGATCAATCTCGCGCGACTGGAACAGCGGCCTGAGTTCTCGGTCAAGTGGAGGGAGTTGCAAACGAAATACAAAGGGACGGTGCTAGAGGACGACATTCGAACGGTTGCGGGCGAACTGCAAACAGTGCTATCCAGCATGCATCAGGAAGCTGTGGCACAAATGCAGTCTACAATTGGTGCTGGGATGGGTTTTCCCATGGGATTTGGAGGGGCTTCCGCACCAGGAGGCTGGCCGAACTTCATGCCTGAAATGAGATGCGCACTGGGAAACCTAACCACAGGGCCCGTTGGACTGGCTCCTACTCCTGGGTTCAACATGGCGCTGCCGGGGTTAGGCGGCATCGGTTGGGTTACGAGTGACCCTCCTTCGCTAGAATTGATGAGAATGAAGGAAGAATGGAACTGGCCTGGACTAGGTCATCTAGGATGGCATGATGAACGAGATGGCGTTCCGCTGGAGGAGATGTATTATCCTTTCAGATAACACCCGTTTATAGATGAAATGGAGTGTTGTCAACAACCGTCAGGCATCGTCATACTGCCACTGTTCAGAATTTGCACTAATGGATTTGATGTTTCGCGATACGCCTGGATAGGAAAGAGTCTAGACTTGAGCGCAAATCCTCCAGAGTGGTAGCAGTTGGGCTGGGTTGGAACTGATGCATGCAACACTGCGTGTGACTTCGTGAGACCTGATGCGGCGCTATTGACTCGGGTCAGACTAGATGGAGATACGAGAGCAGAGAGCCGCATATGAAGCGTAATGACATCAATTTGATTGCTACATTCCCGTTGCCTCCGTTTGAAGGTCTAACATGATACGGTGTTCGTTGCTCGTCATTGCTATTCGCTTCTCCTTGTGGTCCCCTCCCAAATGTCCTATACCAGTACTTCCCGAGGTCAACAGTTCCAATTTCAATGGTTGATGGGTCTGTAGCACACTTCCCAGTCCTATTCGAGATTGATATCTTGAAGATGAAAATCCAGTGGAGCTTGTTCCGCTGCAGTCGCATTGGTCCCAGGAACATGGTATTGTATCACAGGTACCCATACCCTTGCGCTTGTGACTTGAGACGGGAGCAAAAGGAAGTAGCAAACAAGACGGAAACATCACAGTACATCCACCTGATAGCAGCGGAACTCGCTTTCCCGAGTACAGGAACATTTGAACTGGTATATATGTGCCCGGCCGCTAATGCTGTAGCTCGACGCCGATCAACCAATTACCACGTCAAGTCTTCACCACTAAACTCACTGAACACTCGTATTGCGAAAATGAAATCACTCATCGTGACCGCTGGACTGGCGCTCATGGCTGCCTGGGCAGTGTCATGTGTTGAGATGATTGATGAGAGGTACCCCCGACTCATCGTCCACCTGGACTCCGACAATCCCGATGAAGCATCAGGAACGCAGTACGGTGGAAAGCTGCATTGGGGCTGGGATGGGAAGAACCCGGATGTGAGAGGGTCATGGAGAGTTCGTACATCCATTTCGGCTTTCCCAACAGCTCCAGTATGATGATATTCACGCTGACGAAAGCAGGTCTCCACCGCCGTGATATTCGACCTCCGACCTGCCTTGCTGCAGAAGTCCCAATTTTGCACCGTTGAGTTCACCCTGGGATCTCAACTCTACGACCTGGAATGTTACGAAGACTGGGATTTTGAGGATGAGGAACGAAACCCAAAGGCGCTCTGTTCCTTCCAGCTCTTTCGCTTGCCTCGTGAGCTCTCCGAAGGCGACACGTACAACACAATCGAGAACACAATCTGGGATTCGGATGGCGACTTTGGACTGGAACCGCCCGTGGGTTCAGTTCATGTGAACGGTTCCGCCTTCGAATTCAAGGCCAGGGAGTTCCCATGCGGATTGAATGGAGGATTCACGGAGAGCATCCTTGTATACCCCGATCGGTCGGACTTGTTTCATCAGTCACGTTGGAACTTGACATGGTTTCGTATGTATTCGACTATGCTTCACGACACGCAGAATGAGGACGCAAGAGCTAACCTGTTGAACAGAATCAGTGCTTCCAATCAATGGGATCACGCTTAAGATGTGGGGATGAGCGTGTTGGGGTTGAAGCGTTCTGGCAAAATAGATGACGGCTACTTGCTCGGCTTCAGTTTCAGAGACGAGTCTCTGTGTAAAGTATTTACAGATGGCTTGAAGAGCAGCGAGTGTTTAATGAGCTTATCCTATCCGCGTTCAAGATACCGGGTATCTGCTGTACAGTTAGCTGAGGAACTATCACAATAAATTCGAGCATATGGACCTTAGAAAGCCAACAGGAACTAAACTGCAGGTGCGGACTTTTTCCACAGTTCTCTAACACTGACGGCGCTAGCGGTCCCTCCACACAACCCCAGTCCCAACTCATTCAGGAACATGTACGATGGGGCGACACTGAAGTTGAGCGCAACCGGTGCCCATGCCGAGGTGGTCGTCAACTTCTTCCACCAAGCATCATCCTCCTGCTCCCAAGCGGCCGAATAAGCCAGGTCCTTCCTCTTTTGCTTCGTAAGCTGCGAGGTCTTCCACAGCCTGACGAGCTCAAGCGTGAGATGGGTGCACCACCCCCTCGAACTCCATTTGAACAGTTTCCCCGTGGTGGCTGGCTCCAATTTTATAATGCCATGCTGCGCCAGGTAGCCGACGTTCTCCAGCGCCTGGAACGCCACACAGGCGGAGATCTGCATCCAAACAATCGTTCGAATCGTGGTGTTGGCCGTCGGATCATACTTGTTCTTGTTGACCTTGCTTCCCTCCTCCTCTTCCCCTTCGCCCTCCGCCGCCGCCGGTTTACGGGCGCCAGGATACGACTTCCAATGCCCTTTGGCCCAGCCATACAAGCCCAGGAGACCCCACAGGCGGGCGAACGCCCGGAAGTCGCTGATCTTGGCCCGCGCCGTCTTCATCCGCTCCGAAGCGTCGGCGGCGCGCGCCCATCGCGCGCCCAACACCTCACCAACCGGCAGGCTCGCAACGAGCGTCTCGCCGGGCTGCAGGGATTTCGAGGCGCGCGAAGCGATCTGCGAGGCCACGAGCTCCATGCGTGAGGCGAGGAGCTTGTCCAGGGTGTGGGAGGCGAGGATCATGGAGTAGGCGAGGAGGCTGAGGGTCGAATCGGTGGAGGACGGGGTGGAGAAGAGGAGGGCGAGGCGGGAGACGAAGACATCGGAGTTGCGGAGCGCGCGGACGAGGCAGGCGTTGATGGACGCAGGAACTGCGGGCTTCCCTTGGGGAGCCATGGTGATAAAGTAAAGCGGTGGTTCCGGCGCAGGCGCAGGAATTGAATCGATAGATACTAAGACTTGACGCTGCGATGGTCCAGGAGCAGCATCTGGATGTATATTCTAGGAACTTTGAGATCCATAGACCCCTAAGATTTTGGCCCAACGAGCCATGAAATGAAGGATCCACGTCATTGGCGAATTGTTTGTAAACGTGGAGACGGCGCGGAGAGACAACCGAGCCTCGGGTCTGCACATCAAGCGATGTGGAGTCGAATTTTCAGGGTCTATCCCTTGGCCCACTCCCACATCTACGATAGTACATGTCAACATCGTGTTCAAGTCACGATATATCATTGTTATATCTCCAAAGTCCAAGGTTCTAAATGTATAACTAATGTGGTCTTATTTAACGCTTGTCTATTCGCTGATTCATAAGTTCGCAATTCCCCACTGACTGTCTTATCCTGCATGGCGGTATCACCCATTGCACCCTCCGTCGCCTTGCTCAACCACTCGCATAGCTTCTCGTCCACTCTATCGCCATTTGATGATACTGTAGTCGATCCGTTTTATACTTATTTTCGGCTTCGCGATTGATGGCGGTGGCCAGGTTTGGTTCCAGCAGTAGTTGGTTCAGGGCGACGAATATCTGGCAGGCGGTCAACCATCGTACTCGTATAAGAATGAGGAAATCAGACTTACGCTTGGAATCTTGCAGCCCACCGACCAATTATCCTTGATCAGCTCAAGCGTTATGGTTCCATTTAAGCTAATATTGGGATGGTAGATCCTCGTCGTGAAGTACACGCAAGGCGCAGAGAACGGGTAATCGGCTGGGAACCTGATATATAAGAAGAACAATCCCTCCGAATATGGCGAGCCGGGCTTGAGTTTCGTTAGTCAAGATCAGGAAGACCAAATCTACATTTATCAAACGTACCGGGCCAAGCAGTGTCCCCTGGCAGTGGAACTAGGATGTATTAGAGGTACGTTCTTGTCGTATTTGTTGGCCGACATATCTCATACTGGATCGTCCGCGACTGGTCCAATAGACCAGGTTTCAAACGGGTCCTTAGCAATAGTTTCCAGCTCCTTTTTCAACCTAGTCCTTGCTTTTTGCATGAACATATGACGGTCCAGTGCCTCAATGTCGGTCTGATTTGAGTCCTTCTCTTTGGCGGGACCGTCCTTTCTAATAAGTGGCATGGACTTGCTTAATGGCAGTCTTTAATTAGCCTGAACATCCTCGCTTCAAGAGTGGACATACAACTTCAACAGCTTCTTCATCTTGAAAAATCAGCTTGGTTTAGTCTTTGTCTTTGTAACGCAAATGATCTATGCATTCTAAACTTCAGGACAGAGATCGGGCGGCTGGATGTGAACAGAATACTGGTCGGTGAAATAGAAATGCAGTAAAACGAGTGAACTAAGTAGGTCGTTATTCGTAGGCAACCATAACTAGTGATAACTCAACTATCAACTGTTACCTCGAAGGCTAGAATCAGAAGGCGTTCTGACCGATATTAGAGAGGATCTCCACCATAGCCAACTTCCAATAATTATTAGCCAAATATATTATCATTATCCCTGTAAATGGGTTACCCTTCTACCACAGTATTCCGTTCAGGTCATGCAATATCGATTTCTTCTGTCCAACGCGGCGTAGCAACCATTTTATTGGTTGATATTGCGCCAAAATTTCGATTGGTGCCCCTGACTACTGGAAGAACTGAACCATTCACTCAGAGACTCGCAAAATACACCTTAGCAACCTTTTTGCCGAATCGTAGAGATGAGCGGGGCAAACCGTGATAGAAATGGCGTTAATAGTATCTGGGGCATAAAATCAATGCGTACACGCAGTTTAATTGACGGATACGAGGCAGACTCAAATCTTGTTATCAATTCTAGAGATGCCAGATGACCGCACGCTATACAATCCGGTCAACTGTCGCCACTTCTGGCTGTGCCACTGGAGCATCCGCACTATTATCCACTGGCGTGACATCTACCTCTATCGCCACGTTATCTTTCTCCTGACTTTCTTTCGGCGCGCTCGCGCTTGATGGTGCATGATTTTGATCATGTCTCCCGCTCACATAATCCAGCCTCCACCTTTTGAACGACTGCAAGTAATCCAGTCGATGCCCGTTGAAGGAATGAGCGCCATTGGCCTCCACTAGCTCTTCTTCCATGCTGCACAGGATCCTCAAGCAGCCCACGATTTTGGTCCGCTCATCGCAATTGATGACATGGAGGCCCCACACCTGCGCGCTGAGCCAGACGTAGACTAGCGCCAGCGCGCAGCCGACGGTGATGAAAATAAATAGGAGGCCGAGCGCCCACGCAGTGATGAACAGGTTCCCGCCCCACTGCGCGGCGAAGAAGAAGGTGAGGATGAGAAGGAGGGCGGCTTCCACGAACCCGGTGAACAGCATCTTCAGCTGGGGTCGGCCCATCGTTGAGAGATGCACCAAGATAATGAGAGGGTGCCAGCGGGGCGCAGCGTCGGTGGTTTTGAAGCCGCTATGGAGGATTTCGCTGGGCCTTCGGAAGATGGCTTTGGCGTATTCGATTTGGTCTTTCAGGGGCGTTACAACTGCGCCTTGAGGGTGCTTAGGGGGGGAAGGCTGCCGCTTTCGCAATTTCGCCCAGAAGTTGCTCAAGGTCCAGACGATCTTGGACATGAGGGGGTAATAGAGCGGTGGTAATGTGGTCGCAGTGGTGTTTGTCGATGCTGTGGGATCAGAGTCAACTATGTCCTGAAGAGTTAGTTTGGCACTATCAGAGAGCGCGTAAACTGCAGCTGAATTAGTACCAGCCGTCAACATCAATCGCTCGAGTCAAAGCTCACCGCTGACGACTTCATGGTCAGAAGCGTGCCACATTAGAAGTCGGAAAACTGCATTTGCAGCCGCGCTAACAAGGAGGTAAAGACCAGTCCAGCTACGGTTGATGTTAGCTGATTGTCGCCCACTGAGATATCATCCCGGGCACGTACTTCTGTTCCGCGCAATGGAAAAGGAATCGAGGCACGCCTCCGGCTTTAAAGAGTGGCTCGATCGCAATCCCAAAGATCACGCCTTGGATAACGGCAACGATAATAGCCGGTATATGCCACCAGTGGTACCGTTTTAGCCAATCGTTCATTGCTCTTTCTCGAATCTTGACAAAGTCCCTCATATGCGCCGTCTTGTTTCCTGGCCTCGTCCAGCTCCGGAGAGATTCTAGTGTTGCCAGGATGCTCAGATCGGCGAGATCTGCTATCATACTAATCGGTGCGATCCCAAATGCACCAATCTCCATCACTCGACCCTCGTGGAACGGCGTTTTTCTGTTGGAAACGTAAGCAGTCGGTTTATCGACAAGAGGGAAGACAAATACTAACGCTTCTGACAGGCAAACCCAGGCTATACATGGCAGCACCAACTCCGATAATCCAACTTGTTGCGAATGCTTCTGAGCTCCGTGGGACATACCTAAAGCAGGCTAGGGGTGCAAGTAGGTAACGATCCGAGTCCATATGGTATAGACATACAAGTTGCCAAACGCAAGGAATGTCGGAACGAGTGCCATCAAAGTGGTGGCCGCGTTGGCCCCAGCCTTCTCCCATTCGTGCATGCCATCCAAAACTTCGGAGATGTATGCACTGCATTTGACACTGCTTCCAACTCCCATGTAGGAGCCGAGTGCCTCCTAATGTCGATACTCATCTTCCGCTTCGATCACATCCAGATATTTTTCAGACAAATCGGTAAACGACTCCTCCAATAGCAGTCCAAGATTGTTGTCGAACAGTGCGAGCTCAGCCTCGAGCCCTTTGCTGGCGTTCCCGAGAAGGTTCCTGTGCAGTTCCGGATCGATGCCGCAAGAACTGGCGAATTCTTGTAACTGGGGAGCCGCGACGTCCTCGGGAACCGCTTTTCCATTGCCGCTCTAGTATTCACGGATCTGGCCATGAAGGCAATCGAAATCCGTGATGTTCTTTTCGGACGAGACGACTTTGTCGATCACGCCCTCGTCAGTGAAGGGAATTTTTAAGTTGCCGACAGCGGCCTTGAACCTGCCAGGCCTGTCCTTTGCGGAAACGGTCAAGGAGGCGAGAAAGGAAATGAACAAAAGAGCGGAAGGGGAGATAATTCGTCCCATGGTGTTGGATAACGATGGGCGCGAGGCAAGAATGGGAAAACGACCAGGTGTCTATGGACGACCTTAAAATCCCCATGCTCTTCAAACTTCGAATAGCAAATGCCATGACGGGAAGGCTGAGGTGGCCCTGTATTCCAAGTTTCCAAATGCCTACTCTCCTATCGAGTGCATATGGCGCTCCTATTTTAGCGAACGAAAGCCATCCCATGGTCTCACGAACCAATCAAAACATTGCGGCCGCGAAAAAGGAAAGAATGCAAACCAGGAGTCGAAACCGAGATGGTTACATTCAATTCAATACTATAGCGGCCAACCCAAGAGAGCTCCCACGCTCTCCAAAATGTAAGTAGTCAAGCCTCATTACTCAGGACCGACGACACAAAGCCGTGCGGGAGGACTCTGTACAGGGTTACAGTTGACAGAGTTGATGAGTCGAGGGATCGCAATGGTACCCCGTAGGCCGTAGGGCTATGGTATGGGACTTGTGCATGTCCTGAACGCCATCTTGTATTCCAATTTCCATCCAACATCCAGGGACGTTTGATGTCCAGGATCTTTGATTCTTGGGGAACCTGGAGGTTCCTTGTTGGGTTTAGTGCCCGCCACGGGCATGTTCTAGGCTCTAATAGCCAATCGCCCATCCAGCCCTTCAACTTCAACGGAACGAGACTCGTGAACTCATTTCACCAACTTCCACGGACAATGGTCTCCTCCATACAAATCGAATGTGGCTGTCTCGACAATGTTGGCATTATGCTTTGAAGTTTCCGCCCCAGAGCAGCTATTCGACTTGACCAATGAGTGCCCGGGTGGGATTCAACCATCGAAGACAGGAGGCATCATACATCGCACTCGCTTCTGTTACCTCCGTGTGGCTTTGGAAACATACGGCTAACCGGAGGAATGGGAAACCTACAATGCAGAGCCACTCCTGGGTAACAGAAGTACAGGTGGAGCCCATTGCGCTCTCCAGTTAATAATTGAAACTCCTCCCTCAAGTCATTCAGCACTGCGTACAGCTATGTCCGGAATATCCCTCTGACGGGAGTTCTTACCCATGCAAACCGACAATCAACGGAACAGAGGCATTAAAACTGACAAAAGAAGTGTCTGGTTCGAGCAAATTATATAGGCTCTGAGCTAGGGATAAATCTTGGACTGGGTGTGTATGGCAGGAGTACAACCCATGCCGGTGTCTTACTGACAGGTGGTGAGTACCTTAAACCTTCGCCAATCCGACCAATTCAATAATACTCGTTTCGTCAAAGACTTGTCCACAGGGTCGTCAACCGCTGGAATACCCCTTACGCAAGCGTTGTACTACTTAGCCATGAGGTGAACTGTAAGTCGCGTAGCCATTCTATATCAGTTCTTCCATTCTGCCCTATTCCCATGATTTCGAGCCTTTGGTCCAAATATATGAACTAATATAAGACTCCCGCCAAGCCCAATGATGCACCGGGGCCAATCATATGAAAAAGAGGGAATACGCAGAAGGGAAACGGGTGATCAGTCGGGATGATATCATATGATGTTATACATATGAGTTCTAGGTGGTAACATACCTTATGATACGACGTTTGCTAAGACATAGCACGAGCACATAGGTCTGCCGTCCGACTACGGTTTCGCTCCCGGATCTTTATGTTGGCAATCGAAGTGGAGGCTCGGCTTATGGTATGTGAATTCCGATGCTGCGCAGCTCTAGGTCGGCCTCAATCCCACCACCACCACCACCACCGTCTGCTGTGGCTTGTTTTCGTACCTACCTACTTCTCTTTGTATTTTTCGTTCATTCTGCGTGCAGCATGGCTTTCATTTCATCAAGATTCTGTTTCATATCAACATGTATTGACTATTGCCCCGATTTACCATCTTCGACCAACTTTTCGCCCTTATTTTGGCCCCTTCGATATTGTTCTGAGGCTCGGGGAGCCCTCGAAGAACCGACCGGAGTACTAGGATTACGATTGTCTACGTAGAACCTTGTGCTTCTCCTGTCGAAGCCCTACTCTTACCGTTGTTACTAGTTGCGGACATCCGGCCTTTTAGGTCTCGGTCCGAAAGCAGTCATCTTGATATATATAGACTTGTTCCGCCTACTAATGTCAAAGGTAGCGTAGGTAGAAGGAGACCAGGATTCAACAATCCGTTTAGATGCGTGGGAAAAGGGCATCTGCCTTGTTCGGTCACTATTCTCATATTCACTGCGGTCAAACGCGATATGGAACTGTCTATCGGTATTCATGTGGGAAACGGCAAAAGAAGGCACAATCCATATGCCTGTTCTGCGGCATTGGAGGGGACTTGCATCATGGCAGAACAGTCTCTTCCAAGGTGATTGGACTATTACTGTTCTGAGCGCTCTGTATCTGCCGTCTAGATACCGTCTATTGAACAGTATAGGGTGATTTGAAGGCTAGATACAAGCGAACTTGATTTTTGAATCCGACCACCTTGCAGAACCACGAGAATGAATTTCCAGCCCTCAATTATGATAGAGAAATGGAGAGTGGCTAGAATACGTCTAAGGAACGTGTAGTCACTAATCGTCAGGGGATCCATTGACTCCGTACCTACTCTGTAGATATCCCCTCACTCAATTCATAAACCATAGCTCAACGCCTGTACGCTATTCCTAGAGCCATCTAGGAGACTGCTCTACTCAGTACTCACCTAGCACTGATTGATACTCGATGCCTTGAAGACTGGACGTTATACAATCAGGAAATGTCCAGCAAACGCGAGCTTTCCACCCAATCAACCCCGTCTTCCCTTTAATGACCACGGCGAATAACCTTGTTGAGGCATTTCCCTGACAGCCGCGCCATTGCCGCCCCGACAGGGTATCGTCCGGGTTCGGTCTGCCCCATGACCTACCATCCACCACATTTACCATACCGCGATATCCCGCCTTTCCCAAGAACGGACCTAAAATCGGGTGCAGAAACCCTGCGTTGTGTCTCGGGACTGGGTCGCTGGGGAGTGGGCGTCGAGCATGGACGACTGGATGATTTCGCGATAGCGCGGGGGGCATGCAGGTGCAGAATTGCGAACCGCGGAGATACAAGCTTGGGTGTTTGGATCGCCGGCGACTAAGACTTTGTAGGGGCACGGACAGGTGATTTTTTGCATAATTATCGCAACGACTATTCTTGGTTCTCATATATTTTTGGTGGGAATTCTTCTCTGCTGCTTAGATCGTCGGAGTGATGGTGACGGAGTCGGTTGGAATGACGGACGCGAGGATGGATCGGGTTAGGAGGGTCCGGAAATGCGGAGCGGGCAGTCCCTTTCGTCCACTCCCGCAGCGTGTGGGTTGTTAGATGTCATCGTGTCGGTGGTCGCCCTAACTGGCGAATATGAGAGAAGGAGATTTGGAGGATTTAGGAGATTGACGAATTTGATATGCAGGAGATGCGCTAAATCAAGCCATCACTTCCAGAGACAAAGACAAACAATGACAACTCGACAAGCGTTATTGATCTTGGGACCTACTGGTTGCTACACCCCTAGTTACCCCAACCTGAAGCAATATTGTTACCATCCATTACCCATGTCAACAAGGTGAGGGATTAACCAAACCAGACCCACCAGAGTCAAAGAACTCCAAATGACCCCGAACGTGGGGTGTCGTCGTCCTGCCGTCCGTCCATAATCCATGCCCTCCGTGTCAACACGAACGCAGCACCTGGCACATGCGCCGCCGCCCATGCCCGTTCCTTCGACGCGAGCCCCCTCGCGTGCTGGCCGCATGGCACCAGAATCAAGCCTTTCCGAGAGCTGCTGAACATGCACCGGCCTGCGTCCGACGATTTGCAATCCGTTTGGCGTTGGGACTTGGGAGATACCGTGCATGGGCGATTGGCGTTGACGGACGCGGTCGGAATACCCCGGGGGAGAAGCCGCAGATGGAGGAGCGGACGATCAGGGTGCGGGGTTGGGCTGTGAGGTTCAACTGCTGTAGGGATGAGGGGTTGTTGGTGGCGTGATGGTGGAGGGACGATGGTATTATTGCATGTCGTGTTGAGTGCGAGTTGAATTCATTCTCACTTCGCAGTGATCCTCTCCAATCCCCAATCCATCGAGGATTCGAGGGGGTACACTTCCAAGTTCCAAGAATATATGTCTAACTGTAGGGCAAGCCGACGTGGCAATTAGTACGATGAGGTGTGGGGAACGACTTGGAGTTAAACTGTTAAAGTCCAAAGCGTCTATTGAAGCCTTGGCTAATAGCAGCAGCGATCGTGCCGTGTTGACTTGGTCCAATAATGAGGTTGATTATTAAAACTTATCCTCATTGGGGCAACATGGCGGAAAAACACCACGAGTCCAAGAGTCCAAGACATCCGCCATTGGCGAAGCTCATCTGGATGGTTTGGGGTAAAACATGCAGATGATCAAGCTCCACGATGAAGACGGTCGTCAAGCATTTTTCAACGGTCAGGGGGCGCTGGGTAAAGGGATATGGTAGAGTCTGCCAATATTCTATCCATCCATCCGCCAAAGTACAGGAGATGTATTGTCCCCGACAACCCCTCATCTGACAAAATCGTACTCGGAGGCCGTTTGGCTGTGAACAAAGACGACTGAAAATCACCCGATGGCTCACTTCTGTTGCATTTCATGAAAACATTTAGCAAGGAGAGGAAGCCGTCCTGATTAGCGTACCACTCCAGAACTCCAATATGTTGTCTACGCAATTTGATAAGACGGAACACATGTTTCGATCGCGTCAAGGAAACCCAAAAGTACTAGGATCTCCCACGGATCAATGCATCAAGAATAGCGGGAGCCGCTCAGGATGTTCCACTTGGCTGGGAATAGGACGAAGTACATAAATAATATGGACTCGATGCTGTTGCATGATCGCATCGACTTGCCTCTATTAACTGTGGCAGGGTGTTGCCATGTCTTGGATGCGATGATACATGTTTGCACACATCTCCGATGGGTCGGGCGTGGCCAAGGAAGTGCGGTCTGCGATGTTTGAGGCCGAAGGTGGGACGAGGTCTCAACGACCGAACACGCCATACCGCATCAATTGCCATGATGTACAATGTTGCCGTGCTCGACTGATGCCACTGAATGCGCGGTCGTTGCAATACTGCCATCGATAAAATAGGCAAGCGGACCAAAATAGTTGATAGACATCGATATCAACGGTCATTAGTCGGTCAGGTGTTTCGACTCACACGAAACCGCTTGCGTAGCCACGAAGACATTGTTCAGGGCCGTTTTGGACGATCGTCATCCGTGATACCGCAGGAGAAAGACCCTCCAATGCTCGTACAGGCAGTGATGTTCCTAGTGGACGACGTTATTACCGTACAGTCAGTTCATATCCGCGCTTGGCAGAGCCCGGCTGTGTCCTGGACTCCTGGTCGACGTTGCAGAATTCGGGTTTCGTCAGCGACGCACCTGAGGCGTTGGATTACCAATTTTCTGTGGCAACGCAACACGGTCCGACTGGATGACGGAGAGATCGGAACGGAATCGTCGACCACGCCATGATTTCGCGATCACCGGGGAAGAAGGTTTCGCTTGTGGTGATGAGACATGGCCATTGGGTTTCACTGTTGGAAGTTGGAACAATGGAATGTGGAGTCGATCGTGCTTTGGATTGACGGACACGATCAAGGGCCGAAAGCAATTTGGCATTTGGTATTAATACTCGCAGCTAACTGTCAAGACCCTGTGAGGGATTTAATTTCGATCTCGCAGGGCAAGTTAGGGACGGGATGCAGTGGGCTACTAGGCTAGGAGGCGGAGGGAGCGAATGAGATGGGCTGGAAATTGACGGCGTTGAAGGAGTGTCCATCAAATTTCTCGTCGCGGAGCGGGGGCTAAAGTGTAAAGTAGAGGGTAAGCTAATTACTGAGTAGTTGACCCGAAAGCAACCGTGGATTGTTTCGCTGTGGCCTGTGGGAGTTGGCTGTGAATTTCCTGTGAATTTCCTGTGAATATCCCGTGATGACAGTGTCCGCACTCCAAAAACCCCTCATATCCTTCAGAAGTCCCGCTCCCACGCTACCTGCCAAAATTCCAATTCATCAGTGGGTGCGCTCAGCCAAAACACTCCCATTCACCCAAAGTCCCAAGTCCCAAGACCCAAACCCCCCACTCTTTTCCCTTTTTGCTCTCTCGCTCACTCTTTTCCCTCTCCTCGCCCCTCCACCGCATTCATCAAAATTCACCTCCATCCAAATTCCCACACCCATCTCATATCCTACGCAGATCGTCTGAAACAATTCATCACCTGAATCATCGCGGTTCCATTTCTGCCTCTCAGAGGCCTTATAGAGCCATTCCACGTCATCTCGATTTCAAGATCGGTCTTCATCTTTGGTGGTACACACACCACCAAACCCGCCAACTCCGAAATAGGCGTAGCATCGCCACAGCCTTCCTTACCAAGATTCCCATCTCCACTGCTTTTCCAAAGGTTGGTTTCCTCACTTCCTGCTTTTGCGACTTCGTTTCGCTATTTCTTTTCGCACTGCCTTCTACGTGGCTCCACAACAAAAGAGAGAATCATCGAATATTGCTAACTCGGGACGCATCTAGCATCCGCGGCCTTATCACATTATGACTTCGTCAAAATTATAGCACTCGCCGATCGGGCTTTAGTCCATCATTGGTATCAGCCATCTCCTTCTACCGTACCTCTCCACTTCTCGCCGTTTCCGAATCCGACTCATTCGCGTTGGTGGTACTTGCCGGATCTGGCTTCAAGCATCTTGGCTTGTGCCTTGGCCAGACCAGACGTATTCCAACGCCTCACTGTGATCTTCTTGTCGCAACCCGCCGTACGCTCTGACGCGGCCCTGCGACCAACGACGTTCGACGGTCCTCGGACATTTCTTCATTGACTGGACCATCTTCCTGGAATTTCCATTTTGTATAACTAGACTGTGGCAGTGTGGATATCCCTTACACTGCATTTCATACTCACGATGACGGACCGGCTACACACTCCACCCGATTCACGGGTGATGCAAAACCAGCCGACCTCCCTCGACCTTGATGGCGAGGAAGTGGCAGCAGACGTTGATGAGCCCCCTGACGAAACACTGCAAATTACCCCTCGGCCGAATCACCACCTACACGAAGTCAAGGAGTTCCAGAAGAGCGAAACGCGGGGCTGTACGGCGCAGAAGTCCTTATTGACTCGCATTCTCCACGAACCCGAATCCCAGGACGATTACGATCCTCCGGCTGCGCGATTCACCACCCTCACTCGCGGCTTGTCGCAGGTGTCGAATTGGAGTAATCCGAGCACGACGTCAACGGCAGAGTTGACGAGTGACGGGAACCTGACATCTCCTGGGTCTCGTGCAAACACCCCGAGCCCCCCAATCCCCACTCTGAACGTCCATGCACTCCCTGGTTCGACGAAACAGATCCGCCACGAACATATCACGGTCAACGACCATCGCGGGGGGCCCATCCTGTTACCTTCGAATCGTGTCCGCATCGCTGATGACAGCGAGGAGAAGGTGGCTGCAGGACTTGGACGAAGACGGTGCATCAAATTCGCATGTGGAAAGAATGATGCCCCGAAGGTCGAAGCAAATGTTGTAGCGACGGAGTCGGGAGCAAAAAGCGAACTTCATCATCCGCAACCACGCAAACCAAGTACGATCCGATTCGGCGCATGCCCGATTCGCGACACCAAGCCAGCCGCAACCGAATCGAAACCTCCCCAACGTCGTCTGCCCAGCCCCCCACCGCCACCGTCATCCCGTCGTCGCATCGCGTCTAAGGAGAAGGATGGTGAACGATCACATCGCGGCTCCGACGCGACTGTGACGGGCGTATCACCTCAGACGAGTCGCAAGCCTACGCCACTTGCCTTGCAGCCTAAACCAGGTCACGAGTTCAGCGAAGACAACACTTCGGATTTGAATCGATCGGAGGCTTGCCGGTTTCATGAGTTCGCTAGCTCAGATGACGAAGTGGATGACTGGGCGCAGGAATCGACATGCCATCGCAGACCGTTGACGGTCAATGACACTCTGAAAGTCGAAAATGGCTTCAGGAGGATTATTGAGGAAGTCGAGGAAGAAGAAGACGAGGATGACGAGGAGGAACTGGATGAAGATGAGGATGGAGACGATGACGAGGATGACGATGAAGCCGATGCTGTTATCAGCTCGTATGACGACTCCGACTCGGATGATGGGTTCAAGTCCGACGATGAGCACGGTTTCGCGTCGGAGGACGATGATACGGTTAGCGAAGCCGGCTCTGATTTTGCTTGGTGGAACCCAGGTCGCACTACGGCGTCAACATCGGTAGTGGAGCATCCTCCGACCGCATTTGACAGGCGTACGGGCAGCGTTTCCGCATCATCCATATCGTCACGCCCTGTCTCCCCGACCGTGATGCCAAACCACAGGCATAAGAAGGCAATCTCTATTCGTCCCACGTCTCCCGAGCTTCCTGATTCAACCGATTTCGTCTGCGGCACCCTCGACGAAGACCGCCCCCTTGAAGAGCGTTATTTGGAGCATCTCCGGAAGTCTCACCGGGCTTCTGCCGTCGATATTGACCCAACGTTCCCCACTTCAGATCCGGAACTAGACGAGTCCGACAATGAGGACATTAGATCTGCCCCTGATGAATCCGATGCTTGGGTTCAGGGTGCCATGGACGACATCGACTCTCACTCTCCGCACAGGAAGGCGTACCAGATGAACAAGAAGGGGTCACGACGGTCTCCACCACCGCCTCCTCGTCGTGGGCGTTCTCCTCCACCGGCGAAGCGAACCACCACTGGGCAACATCATCGCTCCCCGCCGCCACCCCGCAAACTCTTCGGCCACTCTCCCCGCCGTCTCCACTCCCCGCCTCCCCACCGTCTTCGCAGCCCACCCCCGACCCGGCGTGGCTCGCTGAACAAGGTCCCCCAATATAACCTGGGGGCCGACGCTCTGCAGATCCCGGGCACGCCATCCGTCCTGGGTGAACGCAAAGTGACTTACGCTAGCTCTCTCCCCCGTCGCTTGTACTACGGTCCAAGGGCGTTCCCCTTCGCAGAAGCAGCCAGCCGACGCGTCCTCACCCCGGCCATCGAAGTGGATGACCCCGACGAGGATGGCGACGGCGAGGTCGACGACGCACACGACACATCCCGCAAGCGCGCCGTCGTGACCCGCCGCCCGGCCATCGACATCGTCAAGGGACTGGAAGCCAAGCGCGCCCGCCGTCGCGAAAAACTGCTGCAGAAGTGGCAGAACCGTCCGGAGAAGGAGAAGGAGAAGGACCGCGAGCGGGAGCGGAAGCTGTGCCAGGGCCGTGGCGTGGAGCGGATGCGCGCTGTGGGGCTGGGGTGCATGGGGAAGAAGGGCGCGTGGTTCAACGGGTTCAACGGCCTGCAGCAAGTATGGGAGAAGGAGGGCGACGGGTTCGTGATGTCGGTCTAGGCATACCCGCCGGACGACAGGGAATAGAGCCACCGACCATCTACCCGGACGAGCGGCATTGCATTTCCTTTTTCGATTCATTGCACACTTTTTATCATCTTTTTTTTCCGTCGACTCTCCTCGTGTGTACAGCATCGGGATCGAGTCAGGCGATACGGCAGGGTTACCACTTTTACATCCACGAACGCAACACGCATAAGGGGTGCACCAGGCTTCCATCCTCCACAATCACCGACCTAAGACTCGATCTCATCCGATCGACTCCGGTGAACGGACGACGAGGGCCGCATCAACACTTCCGCCGTGCGGGAGGACCGGGTTTCTACTAGGATGGGGGACGGGAGGTTACATATCCATGGGCGGGCAGGAACAGCATAGCGCGCACAGCATCATCATCGGAGTTTTGTTTGTTTTTGATTTTAGCATCAGCATTCGCTTGCATTCGCTTTGTTCTTACTATTACATCTACATGCCGTGAGGTGTCCGGGATGTCGGACGCTCCAATGCATGGTTGCTTAGTTCTCTACGAACGTAGGGATCAATGCAGATATGTCCACATGATGCCACTGTCTTACTGTTCTGGCTTGTGAAGTCTGCTCTACGGAAGTTGGCTGGTGCTGATGACACATGAACAGCTATGACGTTGGGGATGGTGGCGAGAGATCGAAAGAAACCCCTAATTGCGCTCTGTAAGCCCGTATCCAAATCCGGTTGGAAGATCTCGCGACTTTCGGGGGAGCGGAGAGGACAGGGTTGCGTGGACGCTGTAATTTCATGTCCTCGTGCTGATCACCTCCGTTCCTTCTGGAGCTGTCTCCCATCGAGTCAAGATGCCGCATGCAGAATCAACTGTCGGACTCGGGATCTTGCCGCGCGTAGACGTGGAAGTGGAAGTGAAAATGAAACACCTGCAGGCCGCAAGGTGCAATGCTGCATGAAAGGAATCCGAGACCATGTGAAAAACGATGACGTCAGAGTTCAGCTACGACGGGCTGCACGAACCCAAAACTATAATACCGACTATTTACCGCCGTAGATCCCGTGACCTGAGTTGAACGTCGAACGGTCGAAGAATTTTGCGAATTCCCTTAGGTTAGGCTGAGGGTGGAATTGAGGTTAGATATCGATTGCAGGGTCTCGATTTTGAATTCTACTTCTACCGTGAGTTGTGTATGCCGTGGACCTGCGGGAACAGATGTGTATGATTTCAAGTCAGAAGACGCGTTTGCGAATTGGCTAGTTAGCCGTCATCGGAGCAGCTTCCCGTGCGAGAAATGATGGGCTAACGACTATCGCGGAAAAAAAGAAAAAGTCTTACCATTTGGGGGTGTCTAATCAGCCGATGTTGACTCATCAGATCTGGGCTGGGTTTTATATATCGTCTCAAACGCAGTGATATTGCATTCGCGTTGGTTCAAGGCTTCAATATCAGCGGAGTTTCTTATCATGACAAGTCCGAAAGAGTCCGTGGGACCAATAGAGGGCACGATGGCATCTAAAGCTACGCGTCCGCCAAAGAGACGGAACCGGGTGCAAGATGCATTTTCTTGGAAGTACCTGAAAGGAGATGTGGACACCAAGCATGCCGATATATTGCTCATCGTCTGTTGCTTCGTGACGGGGCTGTTAGACAGCGGTATATTCTGCAACTTTGGCGTCTTCGTGGGAATGCAGACAGGTCAGTGACAACATGGTACTCCGCCGTTCTACGAATATCGGGATCCTATATCCATCTGCGTGCTTGAGAATCCATCATGTTGACGAATTGAGCAAGGCAATACCGTCCTCCTCGGCCTCTCCACGGCCTCCCTCCCCCCCAACCAACCTCACCTCGCCCCCCGAGCCATCCTCTCCATCGTCTCGTTCCTGATCGGCGCCTTCGTAACCGCCAACTTCATCCGGCTGCTCTCCCGCCATCTCCTCTCCCGCCCCGGTTCCCGCGCCCCATCCCGCCCCGCATCCGTCCACCTCCCCCGCCTCCCCTTACTCCTTGCCCTCCTTTTCCAACTCCTCCTTCTCATCATTGCGGGCGCCCTATGCGCCACTCGCCTCGTCCCTACCGAGGCCCGCGAAGTGCTCATGGACCCGTCCAGCTACAACCCTCTCTCGCACCCCTCCCCGCTGAGCGATCTGCGCGTGCTGATCCCGCTACCGCCCCTTGCGATGCACTTCGGGAGCCAGGTCGCCATCTCCCGTGCGCTGGGGGTGTCGGAGATCCCGACCAGCGTGCTGACGAGTGCGTATGCGGACCTGATGGGCGATCCGGGATTGTTTGAGACACGGAATCGGAAGCGGGATCGGCGGGTGGCGAGCATGGTGTTACTTTTAGGAGGCGGAATCGTGGGGGCGTGGCTGCTCCGAGCGGGGATTCAGGTGGATGGGCTAATATGGGTGGGGGTGGGGGTGAAGGCGGTGGTGCTATTGGGCGCGTGGGTGGGCATGGGAGAGAAAAGCGGAGACGACGACGATGGGAGGTCGGGGAATTGAGGATGAGCATTGCATTCAACCTATAAGGCGAAGGTATAACCGGAATTATTCACCGGGCGAACCTGATAATACCTAACACCCATGGACCCTAGACTCCGCCAAGGCCACCAAAGCATCACAGGAAAGCATCTGTCTGCTGTACGCATCAACACCTCTCGCATCACACCGCGATGGCGCTCCCCTCATTCAGCTCGGGTGGTGGCACGTCCACGCTGTGCGTTTCCCCCCACCATCTGCCCTTCACGCCCATGTAAATTGTACTCATCCAGATCAACGTGGTAATCGTAATCTTCGGCAAGCACTTGCACCTGAGAGTCCGCGTCACCCCCACTCGGCCCAGCAGTGGCAGCGGAAGCAACCTCTTGAGCCAGTGTCGCGTGCTCATCATTCTCTTCGCGCAAGTCACGAATCAGCTGGTCTGAATAGTAGCGGTACTGGAAGGTGGGCGAACCTGGAGGAGTAATAGCTCCACGTCGACTTCTTTCCTCGGAGTCCATCATGCAGCAGCAAAACAGTCTCTTCAAGCACGACCAGAATCGACGTCGCTTGCTTTTCGCTTTGGCTGAGGAGGGGGGATCCGCAAGTGGCGGGAACTGGAAGCGGCCGTCGTCGACGGGGGGCTCGAAGGGGGGCGCGTTGAGAACGGATGCATATTGATCGTAGGGTAGATCGACCCTCACGAACCCCGAAGAGGAGGCCGGCTCCGGTGCACCAGCGGGGGGAGTGTTCGGCCTCAAAAGAGGACGGGAGCTAGTCGACAGGAGGGGGGTGTCACTCGCTTCGTGCCCTTGCGGTTCGCCGGACGAGGTGGTCAGAAGCGCGGACGAGGTTGTCGGAAACGCGGACGAGGTGGCCGGAAGCGCGGACGGCCAAGTGAAGCGCGCGAGGTGGTCGTCGGTGACGGCGGCGATGCCCAACTTGCTCGCATCGTTGGCCGGGACTTTATCAAACAGCGAGAGCGAAAGCCCGGCCGCCTCCCAATCGCTCAACACCTGCGAGGCGCGAAGCCTCCTGCTATGGCGGAGTTCGTCCGAGGCGGGGTCGTTGTAGAGAAGAGGGACTGGAGTATCGATGATTACATACGACTCGCGTCTGGCATCGCGCACGGCCTGGTCAACAATAGGATTTTCAGTCGCCGATCCGCTTCCGTGGGAGTGAATTGACTGATTTTCCACCACGTCTTCGACAACGGTCACAAGCATGTCCCCAATAATAGTCTCGATGACTCTCTTGACGCGGTGCTTGGTGACATTGTTTACACCGTTCTCCTCATCGCTGACGTCCGTCTCGTCGCCGACAGCGTTCTCATCGCCGACAGCGTACTCATCACCGACATCATTCTCATCCTCGAAATCGCTCTCATCGTCGACATCCTTCTCATCGCCGACGTTCTGCTTAACCGCAATATTCTTCTCAAGGACGACGGTCTCAACGACTGTCTTGGCGCGGTTGTAATCGGGATCTCCGACAATGGCGTCAACGACTGTCTTGGCGCGGGGCTGGGGGGGGTCCCCGAAGATCTCCGCGATGACATCGTCGTACTCGACAACGAAGTTCTCGGCATTAGCCTCCGAGACATCGGAAGGGTTGCCCTCGAGCGGCGCATCAGGACTGATCGTCGTACTCATCATTGATGTAGAGTGGGGTTTGACGCTTCGGTACTTGGTGCGGTTTTCAGAGTATTTCTGCGTCGCAGCTAGTTCTGTCAGTGATGGCTTCCCGTCGCCTCGCTCTTACCGAGTCTAGCGGATGGATGAGCAGCGGACTTACATCAAGATGGGTATACGAAACTACGTGTGAGGAGAGAAGCTCGCTCCGTGATCAACGCGTGAAGGAAAGGGAAGTGGGAAGTGAAATGGTTCGTTTATCGTTGTGAGGACTTGGGTACATTTCACTTCGGGAGGGCTGCATCAATCGTCACATGTCGTGAGGCGACGATGCGATGCGGCTGGTGAGGGCGCGGCTGGTGAGGATGCGATGCGGCCGACGACAACACGATGCGGCCCGGGCAACGGTATAGCTACAATGCACATTGTTTATCTATAGATCACACGAACGTTACTGTTGAGGATTCTGTCTCGGATACCCCGGTGGGACATTCAGACTTGCATCCGAAGCGGAACGCGGCGACCTCGAGCTGTCGAAACTGATCCTTGGGGGATTCGATGAGGAAGACAGCCTGCGCAAAGCGGGCTCGGCGCTGAGATTGGTGCCGGGAGATGTATGAGTTTCATCGGGCTCACGTACATGTATCAAAGGGGTGTCTGCCAGTGGTAAGAACTCAGATCCTTCATGTAAGTTCGGCGAGGGCTGGTGGACAAGGACTTCAAAGTCCATCTCGTTCGTACGGAGAGGCTTATAGTCAAAAGTTATATATCGCGTCCAGACCAGGCTCTTCTGTTCGCGGCCCGGCTTTATTTTCAATAGGCGCCAGAGGCGGTGCCGGAAAGAATTGACGCCGTGGATGACCTTCGAAAAGGGGTATCGGAGATAAAAAGTCAGGACACGGAAACGACGAGTCCGGACCAGACCACGTCTGGCGTCGTGGTAATTTCCAGTATTGAGGTGGGACTGTATACACCACTCGACGACAACATACATCATTGCTAACCCCATGACGGTGGCAGAGAGGACTACGCCTTCCGCCCAATACTGAATGATCAGTGGATTGTCCGTGAAAGTCGTTTGCTGGAGATCAACGTAGCCCCCCATTGTCCCCCAGATGGAAGACTTGCACTCGCACGTGTTGTAGATGCCCATTGTTTGTGCGATGACAATGTACACCAGCCACAAAGCGTTGATGACTTCCAACGGCTTGAAGACAAAGCGATCAGTCCATTCACGAAGCGAGTACCCATGGTAGGTTTGCAAGGCCTGCCGAACTTTTCGTTCGAGCCGATTCGAACGGGTTGTTCGGTCACGGCGGTAAAACAAGCCTCCTATTGTTACGATCGACTGGACCCCGATGTCTTCCAAGCGCTCTTTGAACCGACCAAAACTAGAGTTGACTCTTCTCACCATCCCACTAGATTGTTGCTCGAGCCGATTGAAGGTGGAGATACTCTGTAAGCGGGTGCTCCCTCTTGCCAGCCACTTCATTTGATCTGGCCGTACTGGGGATGAGAACCACCATACCAACAGTTCGCCAACGAGCAGTGAAACGGAGAATATGAAAAATATCACATAGCCACCACTTCGGCAGCCCAACCCAACCGTCGGGGTGTAGTAGGAGAGCGTGAAAGCACCGAATACAGTGCAGCTAACGATGATCATCGCGCTGACGATCTGCCAGAGTTCTCGCTTATCGAACCATATCAGCCCTTCGCCAACCGGGCCCAGGACCAGATTCGCTCGCGCTTCTTCCTCGTACTGCAGCCAGTTCCGGCCGTGATCTGCGACGTAGCAGTTCTCAATATCGGACAAGATGGGGTGCGCAGCGCCATAGTGCCAACGCACACGGCCCTGTCCAGCAAAGCTAACGAAGAAGTTTCCTTCGATATGTTGCGACATCGTCGCGATTTTCTCCACCCATTCCCGCATTCGGGGGCCCTCTGGCTGGTCGCGGAACCTCGCCACGAAATCGTTTCGAATCTGGTTGTTGGCAAGAGACCAACAAACAAGATCAACCAGGCCGTTGAGGCGCTTCCGGATGTCCTCTGAAGCGACGGGGTTGCGATCCACGATGCTGCAGAGTATCAGGACTGGCATCCATGCGAGGAGAAGGCCGAGGGCAAGGTCGTGCGCTTGCGCGTTCTCGCCAATGAATCCAAACGCCGTCTGAATCGATATGGCGAGAGAGAATAGAAACCTTTTCAAAATTAGCCACGTAAACCGTTAAAGGGGTCGCTGGTTGTCTTACCACGCTGTTGCGATGAACACCGGCACCACGCCTCGCTTGCGACCTTCCCGGAGATTCTGCGCCAACTCTTCGCGGGTATCTTGCAGGCTAGTATTTGTACCCTTCAACGGAAGGTCCTTGCTGAAGAGCACGATCCTCAGCAGCCCTTCCACTTCCTTTTTGAGTGATATCACGGGCTTCATCGTGTACTGGTTCATGTTCGTTAGGATGAAAAACGAGTCGCGAAGACTGGCAAAGTCGCTTCCACGGTCGGGGACCCGCTCGTCGTATGGAATGGACATGTCCACCATCAACGCGCACTTGCCCGAGACGCTGATATTCCAAAGGATGTACGACAAGGACGCCATCGGCGACCCCACCCACCGCGCCAACGCAAACATGGTCTGCGAGAACGCATTGCTCTCGAACGGCGCCTGCAACAGCATCCCGATCACTGGCAGGATCCATGTCGTTATCGTCGCGGAGCTCTGCGACCACGGATACCAGTCGCGTTCCCGTCCGCACACCTCCAGACATCCTGCAAAGGTGATCTGTGTAGTCGAGTTGGGGTCGATGAGGTGGGTTGGTCCACGCCAACTGTATCGCGATTCGAGTGTCTGATTCCCGATATATCGGAGCGCGCATTGCGTGAAGTTGGTGGTCATCGTAGGGGACGGGGCGGCCACGTGGAGTGACACGGCGTCACAGACACGCGCATGGAATCAGCGGGATGCATCGTTGATATGCTTCTGGCGAAGCGGCAGAGGTTTGCAGGCCCGAATGACCTGGACTAGAACATCTATGTTGCACGGAATACCTATCTCGGTAATCTCGCTTGAGGCGCGCCCCATGCTAGCAGCGTAACTCCTACTTATCTAGTATCCCAGACCTCAGCAGTGTCATTGATGTCCCCTCACTTTTTTTATTGGCGGCTGGGCCTCTTCTAAATCAACATATTATAGGTATGGGGTAGTTGATTTTAGTATAATATTCCCAGTGCCTATTCGGACTTTGTGTCGCAGGTGGCGGCCGTCCATGCCTGATGCCAATCGCCAGGGCAATCGTCTAGAATTGGGAGGGGCCAACGTGGCTGTCGGCTTTCTGAGCAATGAGCAGGGAGTACAGTAGGGTACACACGCTGGTAATGTTGTATCACTAAATACTGAATAAGGAATAGTAACATGGATAGATTTGCCGTGCAGAAGTACATCCTAAGTACGGATACTGTTCCTTACCTACCTAGGGTATCCAATATCAAGCCTCATTTCTCATTTCTCATTTCTCATTTCTCGCGTTGATTTGAAGAACCCCAAGGCCTCAACCAGAGGATAGACTTGCTGCTGGGACATAGACCTGATCCAATGAATACCTAGGAGGGATGCCGGGAAACGAACCGTGCAAGGTTCCTGGATCGTTGCGGGGAGGTGCCGTATGGTATCATCCACGGTCATTTGGGCGAGTGGCTTTGAGGAATCAGGATATCAGCTGGTGTGCCAGGCAGTGGTTCAGGATTTGCAGAGCTCGATGGCAGACAGCGATCAGTTCAGTTCCTTGCGGGGGCGGCACAGCATTCCGCCACCAAGGGAGGCGAGGCAGATAGGACGGATTCCGGTGAGTGCTCCAGGCTCCATGCCCAGTTCCATAATACCATGTTCCATGATGATGATTCCAACAGAGGATGAATAGTGGTACCATTTCTGTGACACATTAATACAAACAATAGCTAAACGGGATATCTGTGTACTTATATATTTCCGTTAGTTATTGAGTACGGTACTCTAGTGAATACTTAGCTTTATCAGATATCAGTTCTCTCTTCAGTCTTCACGGTGCTAGAATCTTTAACAAGAGAGACATAGACATCACTGCACCACCACTTCCCCCACAGCTAAACCAGCTGACCAATTGCAGGCCACGCCTGTCACCTCAACTCATCCCTCACTGGACCCTCACTGTATCCTGATCATCCATCGCTCACTTTCTCTCCCCCTCCCTCCCTCCGCCTGGTCACTGGGGCTTCAAAATCGTGGCTTATTCACCGTTCTCTTGTTCATGTCCTTCTTCCTTCAGAGAGTCGTGCACTTTCGCTGTCAGTTGGTCCATTCTCTTCTCTCATAGAGTACTACCCTCGGTCCCGGTCCTGTATCAGAACCAATCCAGGTATTCCTTACAGCTGTACCTCAATGAACCCGCCCACAGTTATCAGCTCTTCCGTCCGAACCGTGGAAAATCTTTAGCTAGCGCTGTTTAACACCGGGTAGACCCTATTATCAGCTTCACCTTCAGATGTTTACCACTCCCGCTCCCGCTCCGCCAACGCTCTCCACCTCCACTTCCCCTGTCACCTCATCTTCACCTCCACGTCTGGGAAGGCTGAGGGGGCTGAGCTATTTGAGGAACTACACTCATACCCATTTAAACCCTCTGGCAAGCAGTCCGACCTCCTCCCTTGCACAACCTCCGGCGAACCGTCCACACCACACCCCTCCGGTGTCCCCGGTAGCATCTTCAAGCGGTAGTCATAGGAACGGCGCTGGCATTTCCCCCCGCATCCAGCCCTCGCATCTGTACAATAACTTTGAAAACGACGCCTACCACGACCGACAACCTTCCCGACGTTCGGTCGCCGCGCGAGCCGCCGACTATCAATACTCCGCCGCTGTCAACCTGCTCAGCCAAGGGACCGTCACCATGACCCGCAATCGAGCCGAAACGGCCGCCTCCACCTTCGCCTCGCAACATCACTCCACCACCACCAGTAGCTCCGACACCCGCAACGGGTCAGAGAGCTCCGCGTCCAGCCATGCTTTGCCTAGCATTCGATTCCTCCCGCACCACGATCCGCGGGCTTCCAAACCGTCCCTCCAGTTCGCCCCGATCACACGGACGCTAGCGACCCCAACCGCAATGCTGAAGGTGGGACGATACTCCGAGCGGGAAAGTGCGCCGGAAATCCAGCGGAATGGGACGTCGGCGGCGCCCGTGGGGTTCAAGTCGAAGGTAGTGAGCCGTCGACATTGCGAGTTCTGGTGCACCAACTCGCAGTGGTATATTAAGGACGTGAAAAGCTCGTCGGGCACGTTCCTCAACCATATCCGTTTGAGTGCGCCAGGGGTGGAGTCGAAGCCGTACCCGCTCAACGACGGCGATATTGTACAGCTGGGGATCGACTTTCGGGGCGGCGAAGAGATGATCTTTCGGTGTGTGAAGATCCGAATCGAGTGCAATCGGGGATGGCAAAAGGGATTAAATGCTTATAAGTGCGTCGTTATCCATCAGCGGGTGGTCTAGCATGCTAATGACTTCAGCAAATCTACTCACAAGAACCTGCGTAAGCTCGCGAGCAAGTCACCACGACACGACACGGATAATGCGTCCAACACCAGCTCGGAGTGCGCGATCTGTCTAGCTGCAATTGCTGTATGTTTCCCCACGTCTTCCAGTGGCGTCGAACAAACATGCTCACTGTTCTCAGCCCTGCCAATCCCTTTTCGTTGCCCCTTGCTCCCACGTCTGGCACTACAAATGCATCCGCCCGATCCTCATCAGCTCTACCCATCCGCATTTCCTCTGCCCCAACTGCCGCGCCGTCGCGGACTTGGACGCCGATGTGGACGAGGCCGACAACGTCGACTGGGAAGACGATGACATTGACGCGGCGATCGAGGAGAGCAAGAAAGAAGCAGAGCAGCAGAAGGGAGATGATCTACCACAGAGAGAAGCCAGTCCTCAGCTCGCCGTGAGTGTAGGACAAGAAATCAGGGAAACTCCGACAGATGCGGGCGATACCACTCGCGTGCATGTTGCCCCTGACACCATAGTCCCTGTCGCAGCTGCCAGGTCCCTTGCCATCGACCAGAACCCATCCGCCGATGCCAATGGACTGAGCAGCATGCTCGCTAACGTGTCGCTATCACCAGGGCCAGCGGTCATGAACGATGACCGTTCGCACACGCTCTTAGCTCCCATCCCCATCCCAACATCAACCGTGGCGAGTAGAGCCCTGAGTCTAGGACTTGATGGGACGGAGGAGTCGGAAGGGGGACCGCCGAATTTGGGGGCGGGAGATGCCCATCCTGAGTGTCCGATGACCCCAAGGAACGACGTGGGCCCGTTTCTGGTGGAAGGAGGAAGAAGGGTGGGGAGTTCCGGTGTGTCGGTGGAAGCAGACTGACGACGGTCGGCGATGGGAAACGATGACACTGTATACAACGACCGTGATGTGTGGAGCGATGGCCCACGAGTTGTAAGGATGATCATGAACCACAAGAGGGTGGGCAAATCCTTTTTCATGCTGAATGATCGGCGTTCAAGCGTTCAGGGAGCAGAGTTATCTGTTCCGTTATCGTGGGGTATGTGGGTCAGGGTAGGGAAAGGCCCAATATTTCGGTGGCGTACGTCCGTCGCAACTACGTCCAAACTTATACCGGTAGGTATAGGTAGTTTAGTAAATGAACGACATGATATCTGACAACGGGGCTCGAAAATCGACGCTCATTTCTCTAAATACTCGCTAAAACAGAGTCGCTCGGCAATGCACTGATCCATCACATTTCATCTTAGATGGCAAAAAGCCGGCCACCAGTACTCCTCCATTCCTCCAGCAATGCGAGCACCTCCACCCTTGCATCAGCCACAATCGCATCCATATTGATATCATTCCGATCATACCCAAACGGATCCTCCAACTGGCTCCCGATCCCCTCAATCCCATACAAGGTAAAGCTCACCAACGACACCAGCGGCAGCGACCACCACCCCATATCATCCACCATCGCGAACGGCAGCACGCAGATATACAGCGCCAGCACCTGCCTTGCGTGGATCAGATGCGCCACGGGGATCGGCGTGTTGCGGATCGTCTCCATGCGCGAGAACGCGTCGATCAGCGTGCCCACCTGCGCGGTCAACCCGGACGCCTGCGGGGCGCTGAACCAATTTCGTTGCGCGCCGCGACGGATGTACGACTCGACGAGCGAGGTCAGCTGCAGCGGGAGCGGCACGCCGCGGTGCTCGAGCGAGGCGAGCGACTCTGGGAGGAGGGAGGAGTACATGGATCGCGGCGTGGTGAGCGTGGCGCTGGAGGCGAGGGAGGCTTCGAGGAGGCCGGCGTTGATGGCGGAGGTGAGGGCGCCCGAGGCGGAGGAGGCGGTGGGGGTGCGGGGGGTGCGGACGCCGGCGCCGGCGCCGCTGGGGGTCATCCAGCCGGGGATGCCGGGGATGATGGGGCGCTTCGGGGGGCCGCCGGGGAAGAGGGGCTCGTCGGACCATTCGCCGCGGAGGGAGAACTTGACGGCGTAGAGGATGGCGACGAGCACACGGACGACGCTCTCGGTTTCGGCTTTCTCAGATTCGGAGGCCTGTGTGCCGTCTTCGATGGGGCTTTGGGATATCCCTCCTTTGCCGTCCAGCGGGCCGACGTTCGTCAGGAAGGATCGGCTAAGGTTCCGCACCGCGCCGCAGATGGTCGCGAAATGGTTGCGGCCGGTCCACCACCGGTCGTAGCTCGTCTGGTTGCGGAAGACGAGCATCAGGCCCACGACGATGGAAAGGGAGGGGATTATGTTCGACGGGAGGCCCATTTCGCCGGGCGTGTACTTGTCGACCGCGACGACAACTGCGGTGAAGGCGGCATGGAGGAGCACAGCCAGGAGGATCTGGGAGTGGACGGCGCCTTTCGTGACGCGGAAGACGAGGGGCCATCGTCGAGGTTTTCGGCGGGAGGTGTTTGCGTGAGGAAAGGTATGTTGACGGCTGTGGTGAGGTCGTTCAGGACGATGGCCGTTCATCGTCGCTGGAGTTGGAGGGTTGGACGCGTGTATAATCTATCTCTATCAACCTGTGGAAATGATATGGAAGAGCCCAGCTCTTGTGTAATAATGACACGTCTAAATACAATCCAATTTGATTGCTTGGGGTAGGAAACTCGATTTACATGGTGAATGAGACATGTAACACAGAAGGCAGAACACCCCCTCACGGCCCACGGCCCCTTTGTTGATGTCATGTCAGGGGCTGAACCCAGCGGGATGGCCCGTAGTCACATGCAATCTCCGCTCTCCGCACTTCATTCCTACTAACTAACACTATTTTACTCTTTATTTCACTTAAATATCGGCCAGTGTATTCCTAGGCAGTATTGTGCTCGTGCCAATGGAGATTTCATCGGATTGCCCCTGTGGTAGTATTTGAAGGGCTTCAGTGGTGTAGTGGAATTCGGATTCGTGTCTATAGTCTCCGCGGCGGTTGTGAGTTGTGAGTTAAGGTCGACACTCGAAGGGTACCGTTCGTGAATGCCGTGCAAATAGGAGGTTGGTGAAATGGGTTGGTCAATTGCAATGAACATAGGGAAAAGCTGCTATCGGATCGGGCAGCGACATGCTCAAGCAGGGAACTTACCAAACCCTCAATTTCCTTAATCCGTATCAATATTGTATTATGTCGTCCTAGGCTGGCTCGCGCATTTCCAACTCAGATTTATCTACCCACATTGTCTACCTCAATGCCCTCAATCATGCCTTTCCCCATCATCTCCAGCATAATGTCGTCTACCCAACCAGGCTTCAAATCGCGCGGATCTTCAGATGTGGATAGGTCGATGGAACTGAACAGATCCCCCCTCATGCCGCGGACAATAAGGCTCATCGCCTTGACGTCGTGGCGCAGCTTTGCCACATCATCCATAATTCCGCCCCCAAATTCATCGAGGAGTCTCCCTGCTTCGGCATAGCTAGATACTGCAATGCTGAAGACCTCTTGCGCTTGCTTGGTAAACGCTGGTTCTCTCTGCTCCTCAGTGAAAAGTCCAGGATCCTCCTCGGCAAGATGTAGTGCATGTGTCCGAGCCTGCAACGCCGCATCCCCTGCTCTGACATACAGACTGACCGTGTATCCCACTTCGTCCTCAATTGGGTTTATCACAGGTCTGGATCTGTTCTTCAACCCTTCAATCACTTCGTTGAGGCACCTGAGTGACAGCTTTAGCGCATCTAGTCCGAGTAGCCGGCGGACTCTGATGTCTTCGGGAGTTAGATCGGAGGGAGATCTCCGATGATAGCCAAATAAGTGAAGATTGACGTTTTCCACGGCATCGGAGTATGCATCCAGTGCCTCCATTGGCGTGTCCGGTAGGAAACCGATTCGGGGCTGATCCCATTCATCGGCATCAACTGAAGATCGGTTGCTGACCATCGATAAAAATGCATTATTGGTGCTTCTGACCAGCGTCCGGGGGTCAATGAGTCCACTGTTGAACTCTGCACATGCCAATGCCGCTCTAAACCTAGCGGCTGCAATGGATGCTTCTTCTGCGGTTACACGCTGGCCGGGGGGAAGAGTTTGAAGTGGGGGCTGAGCTGCAGGCTTTGCAAGACTACCTGTGGCGGACAGGACGAGAGTTGGTGGAGCTTGGTGGGTGGGTTGCTGAATCTCCTTCTCAGTTGATTTTGGTACGAGTTCGATGTACGCTGGCAATTTCTGCTCGATCAATGGCTGCCCTATGCGGACGATAGCAGCGGCCGAGAAGCCGGGATGGTTAAATGCCTCTGGCTCATCAAGAGAGGCGAAAACCTTGAGGAGCGCGGTCAGGGCATCGAGCATGGCGACGGTGCTGTCGATAAGTGTCTCCGCCGTAACCGGTTCTTCGACGACCGCCCATTCCTCTTCATTCGGGGTCTTTGCTTCGTCTGCCGCCGGCAATGCTTGAGCTTCTGAGTCCGATGGCTCGATACCACTGGCATGCGCCGTCTCTTGGGACTGGAAATCGCTGAAGAGCATCTCTTGTCTAGTGAGGCACGCAGAGAAAAGTTCGATAGCCTCTTGCAGTAGGCTGATGTTTTCCCTCACATGCAGGCCTGGGCGTTCGAACTCGTCTAGTTCCTCGGAAATCTCAGTGAGCAATTGCGCTGTATTGAACAGTACATCCGGGTTCTCTTCCTTCAGTCGGAGAGCGTATCGATGCGAGTCTAAGGCAGACCGAAGGAGATCCATTTTGGAGCCAAATGACTGGGCGAGGGCATCATTCCTAGCTACTTCGTATTGCATGACGGCCCTGTCGAATATCAATATCTGCCCGTGGGTGGACTCCCCATCAAATAATAGAGTCTGGGATCCCTACTTATTATATGCCAAGTCAAAACTTGATGGGAACGCCTTGAGGCCCTCCTCATAGGAATCGAAGGCTCGTTGAATGAACCTGACCGATTTGGCCAAATCACTATTAGACTATCATAAGCAATTGCTCATAGACTTAGACGAATTGGAGACGTACCCCCGACGCCATTTGGCAGATGCCGTTTCAAATTCATCGGTCGCTTCAAGGTAGTCGTCTTCGGTCATGACTTTCTACTCCCAGTTAGGAACGAAAATAAACGGATTGTATCGCACTGAGATAGATGAGCATACCTTGACCGGTGCCTTCTTCTCCTCGTGTTTCCTTCGCCAGTTGGGAGGCGGTTTCGACTTTCCCATCTTTCAATGCGTCTCTTTCTTCGCTGATTGCGACCCTGTTGGATGGTGGGTTGAGCTCGATGCTCGCCACGGGGCTGGTATGATAGTATTTACCGAAATATCTTCTTTTCGTTCTTCAGAATCTCGTGCTCGGCTCCCGCGTATTATTTATTCGGTTAAGGAAAATTTAATTGTAGCTTGCCGTACAGTATATACGGACAACTTTATTTATTACTACTTAGTTAAATCTTTTCGAAATTTAATAAAATTGTGACACCAGTGTTATGGTCCCAGGCCTGCGGTCTGTTCCCTTGGTTGTGGCTGAAGACGTGGCTGGTGGATTATATCAGAGAAGCAAACAAACATGGTAACACAGCATTAGCTACGGCATTGGAGAGGAGAGTCGCTATCTCGCGCACAAAGGTGCCGGGAGATTTCTTCTCTCTCTCTCTCTTCAGTTTAGATTAATGGAACTTGGTAATCGCAGACCTTGCGCATCCAGACCGTGTCAACCAAGTCTATACCTGATGTCTGGAGTACTCTATTGGATCACGTGATCAGGTCATATGATCTAGCTACTCTGCCCTTTTCGGTCGTCCTAACCACATACATAGTTTCCCCTGATTCCTTCAGGATCAGTCTCGTTGTAACCGCAGTGTGCAATAATTCAGAATCTGTCATTCCCTTGCGATTCGCAAGTGAATTGCAAGAGGAACACCATTTATACCACGCTAGCTTGCCCTATGCGTGCTGTGACATTAGGAGTATACTGAGTAGCCTTTGGGCTGAGTTGCATTCGTAATGTCTACTAATGTGACTCCGAAAGAGACATTTATACACCTGAGTATGATTCCTTCTCTATATAGGGCCTTGGGTTGGAGATGGGTATTAGTGTGGTTGCTTCTTAGTTTCACCTTCATTCTTCACCACAACATCAGTTTCCCCTTCCTTCTTCACCACAACCTCGTCGTTCAACTCTGGCTGAGCTAGGGTCGCCTGTTCGTTTAAGTGGACGTTCTCCAGGAAGAACATGATAATCAACATGGGTACTAACGCAGCTAATGCTGCAATGGCCAGCAGTCGCTGCGACTGACGGTAACTCATATCAATAGCATCCCTCGCGGCCGTGCCCACTTCGTATTTCTGCGCCACGACAATACTTCCGAATATTTTCTCTGTTTGATTCTTCAGTTCCGCTGGGAGATATTGGTTGAGTTTCTTGGGCAGCGTGTTGCGCCAGATCGCTCCGGCCACACTATCAGGGCTGTTAATATTACACGTCCTTTCTCCTGGGATAGTAGGATCAATTTACCTTGTACCAATCGCTCCGCCAACACTCATCGAAGCAAAGAACACAGCTGTCACGACAGCAACTTCCTGTCGCGAAACTTTACTCTGAACTGAAACTTGGGATGCAGTTTGGTAAAACCCACGGCCAATACCGATCAAGGATTTGGCTGTCACAAAGGCCGCCTCGTTTCCGATTTTGCCATCGCCCATATCAATGAGGTAGAGGAGAACGCCCATGCCAAGGACAGAAAGAGGCACGCCGGTTAGAACCCATATCTGAGACCGTCGAGTAAACTTGATGAAGTAAGCAGCGAAGATCCCCGAGACTTGGAAGGCCACACGGAGGGAGTTGCTATAACTCTAGTCAGCTCTATTGCGGCTGCAAATAGCAAGAGAAGGACGTACTCGATCCTTGTAGCTGGTCCAGGCTTGTAGTGGCCAGCAACCTGGAGGTAACTGGTGAAGAAAACCGAAAACACTGAATAGTGGAAGAAATCAAGTGCTCCCAATAAGCAGGCGGCAGCAACGGTGCGGTTCTTGACCATTCTATAGGGGATGAACGGCTTTTTTGCGAACCACGCATCCCACACAATGAATGTCATGAAAAAGACAACTCCTAGGACGAGCATGGCAATGAATGACCCCTTGTGCCAATCATCGCTATTTCCAGACCCAGTCAAAGATAACGGAACCAGAAAAAGGGACAACCCCAGGAGGAGGAGGACTGCACCAAAGAGATCCAACTGCACCCAAATTAGGTCATATATGCGCTTCCACCAGCTGTCAGTGCCCTTCCACCTTAACAATTCTGTGATATGTTTTCTCGCTGGAGCACGCCGCTGGTAATAGAGCATCGCGCCGATTAGAAGAATAGAGCACGTAGGCTGTATGATCGCCCACATGCCATAACCCCAGCGCCATGTCGAGTCAGATAGGATATGCTCTGCAATCTCCGTTCCCACATATAATGCTGGGATGACCGTTAAGGAGTCAGGGAGGGTCGACCAGACAGCTCGATTGATAAGATTTGTGACATCGGCCACGAATACCTGCTGCGTGAGGCTGAAGCCTGTAGATCTTCATAGGTTAGTACAATGAAACAAATGCAATCAGAACTACTAACCCAATAGCTTCAAAGATACCGGCAGCCTGTAATGGCGGTCAGCAAGGTTTGTATATTTTGTCGTCCGGTGGGTACTCACGATGTACTGTGATACATTGTGACAACCCGCGTAGATACCAGACCCAATAGACTGAGTCAAAATAGACACTGCGAACATCTCCGCTCTTCCGAAGACCTAAGGGAAGTTAGCCAGGCGTTTATCAAGGACTGTGTCTGACTTACATCTCCCAGCTTTGCGATGATGGGATAAGCTGCGATCCGAGCGATATTGCCGACAACACGTGCGGCGGACATCGCAGAATGCTGTTTGAACGAAGAGGTAGCATAAGGGACGTACACCTGAGTAGAATAATCACCAAAGTTGTTAACGAGGGTTGCGAGGAAAAGCCTACGAGAATACTCTGGTCAGCAGATCAATTTGGATATATAATATTGACATGTATTGCTGCTTACCCAATGAAAGTCACAATCAGTCCCTGTTTTGTCCAGCCCTTCCGCAGGATTTCAGCCCTTTGCACACCTGCCTGAAGGCTCTCCAAATCTGATAGCTCTTCATTGGAAGTCAGATTGGATTTTTCCACGGCTGACTCTATATTTGATTCGCCCTTAAGGGTTACCGAGATCTCAACAGCCATGACGCTGGGACTCCAAGAATGTAAGGCTGAGGGAAGAACGCTTGGTAGTGTGTAGACAGGAATAATGACACGCAGCAGCGGCTTATATACTGCCCTCTCGGAATATTCCCCCCATTCTCTTTGGTTTGGAGTTCCTCGTATCCCAAATCAACGTCAGGCCACGCGGGAAGAGAACCCACAGTCACGACCAAATGACCAATTGTATGTATCGTCCTGTGGATCTGATCTGATAAAAAAAATGCACCATGCCAAGCCCTCCGTTTCTAGCGTGGCAGCTGTGGAGACGGCAATGCAAGCTCCAGGGAAAGGCATCTAATTAGAGAAGGATAAAAGTAAATCAGGAGTAAAAGCCGAGATCGCAGAGTCGCAACAAGTCCAGAAACCAATGGATCTGATAACAGTGCCAAGCTGTGCTAAACTTTCTAGCGGGCCAGCCATGAAGGGAGCGATGGAAGAGGTATCTAACAGTTAATCTAATTAGAGAAGCAATGAAAGTGAACAAGAAGTGAAAGCCGAGATCGGCAGATTCAGAGCATAAAAAAAGCCCAGAAACCAGCTGATCTGATCTGATAACAAATGCCAAGCTGCGCTAAGCCCCCGCTAGTGTGGTAGTTGTGAAGATGGCGACGCAAGTTCTACCCCAAGATCTTGTTCAATCGGGTAAATTCTGCTTTTCCTTCAGGTGGTGAGTTGATTGGGCAAACCGCAAACCCCTAACGCCACGGTGTTTTAGTCTTGTTCTAGGCACTTAGGGCATACGCAAGCAACGGCAATCCTTCATAGAAATTTATTGACGGCGCCGGGTATAAAAGTAAACTAAATCCGACTAAACAGGATCACACAGTAAGGAGAGACATCTGATTAGAGAAGAAATAGAATTAAATACAGTAGCGAGTGTGTTAAGATTGGAATATCCACAGAGGCTCAGCCTGTACAATGGGAAGACTCTAGACGACCGATTGAGAGAGGAGAGGCAAGAACAATGCATTTGATTACAATTGTTGTATCTGAGTGACTGTCCAATATCTCTAGATGTTTTGTAAAGAGAAAGGAAAAAAAAAGATGAGATGAAGTCCAACATTTCCTTTATATTTCTGCCAGTTGCTTTCCTTTCGCCTATCCACGTGATCCGCTATTTGTCGGATTAGACAGAATTTACCTCAACAGGGTCCAGGCACCCAGCGGCCAGACGTGGCCAGAATAGGTGCAGGAGGCATTACGATCTGTACAGGATGTAAACAAAGAATGGACCACTGGTGAGAATGGTCGTGTCAACAGAGTGAAAAGCCGAGATCACAGATTGGCAATACAAAATCCAGTGTAGAAACTAGCAAATCTGATAATAAATGCCAAGCTGCGCCAATCCGTTTCTAGCATGGCGTCACACCTCATTCGGAGAGAGAGCGGATTTCCGGCCCCGTTCAAAGTTTAAGATGGAAGAGATATTTACCTCCCAGTCGCTTTCAGACCATTTTTCTGAATCTCTTAGAGTTTTAAATTTGACTCTGTCGCATTACGATGACCAAGTGGACGTTTAGCCCAAGCCAGCCCGGTACAACCCGGAATATGGCATCGTGGCAGATCTCACGCCAGAATCATGAGCCTTACCAAATAGACGTTTCGTGGCCTTTAGCCTGGTCTGCGCAGGAAAATTCTGTTGCAAACGCTATGTACGTGGAGCATACCAGAATACCTAGAAATCTGTGGCTGATTCATTATCTTAGCTACCTAGTAGACGGAAATGCCTTGTTTCTCAGTGCGACAGAAACCCTCCGACGACGGCAATCTCACCGGCCTCAAGAGACGGGGACTGTCGTCGTCGCAGTGGGATACCCTCTAACGGACTCTGTCTTCAGCCCTCGTAGAAGCGTCGACCTCACTCCACCGTGTGGCCATTACACGCCGCCAGATGGACCCGATGGGAAGCCAAAGCCCAATGCTTATGGAGGCGCAGACAAATTCTTGACATTCATCACGGAAGTTGTACAGCCTTTCATCACCTTGAAAGTGTTTCCTCAAGTGTCCTTCGACCGAACAGCGATATTCGGCCATTCCTATGGCGGGCTATTCGTGCTCCACACCCTCTTCACACGACCATCCAGCTTCGATGTTTACCTCGCCGCAAGCCCGTCAATCTGGTGGAATGATCGCTTTATCTTGTCTGAAGCGGCGCGGTTTCGTGGCAGCCCGGCAATATCTTCCCGTCCAGTTCTTCGGTTGTCGTACGGATCGAGGGAGCAGGCTCCAGTTCGCGAACCAGGAGAACCTTGGGAGAGATTTCAGTGGAGGAAGAGCGTCGCAGAGCGGCGTCGGATGGCCGACAATTGTAACGAACTTTACTCGGAGCTTTTAAGTAATGAACGGTTCCGCATAATCCAGAAAAGAGAGTATCTGGATGAAGATCACGGAAGTGTAATTGCAGCTGCCCTGAGCGGTGGACTGGTATATTTTCTTGACCAAAGTGGCGAGTATCGATTCTAGATCCATGCCTATAGTAGAACGGACAAACGAGCTGTTCTATCGATTACCGTGGCCGAGGTAGCCTTTACAGTTGACAACAACTTTCGGGTTCCCTACTTCAGGCACCCAGCCCTGTTCTATCGTTCCTTGCTTTCTCTTTACATCCAACTTAAGTATTATGATCAGGGGAGAAACGTGAATTTGCTGTAGGAGGCTATGATCAAGCTGCTTGGTAATGCGAACTAACTAAAGGTAGAGGGTTGGGGGAATTTCAGGTCCTTAAATAGCCTGTCAGACGGCAATGAGCCAATGACGACAAGGCGTGCAGACTGCAGAGGTACCACAGAATTTGACAGGATTTGAGAATCAGGACCTTTCGCCAAGACCGTTGGAAAGGGGAATTCCGACCAATTGAGTGTAAGATCACGGGCTGCGGAATAATTCTTATCAGATTACTCACTTTTTGTGCATCCGTGTGGAATATGGATTATAGTTAAGGAATAGTTACGCTAAGTTACCAGAGATGTAAGTTGAGTCTATGTTTCTTAATTGGACGAAATGCCCCTGTCCAGCGGTCTCGGCGAAGGGTGCTGGGGACTTCGCCGTGAGAGCCTAGCATCTGAGGAACGAGGTTTTACTATGGCATCCTCATGTACTCTCGTTCCTGGATACGGCGCCCCTCCCCAGCATGTGTATGTGTTAATTGTTTTAGACGTGTCGATCAATCACGGAAGCAATAGGTTCTCCGGCAGAGGGAGTGAAATGCATGTATTGTGTAAGCTATGGGATACATCGCAAGATAGATATACCCGAGCTTATGTAAGATAAAGAACAAGGAAAGAAATTGTCGCAGGCCAAGGCATGAGCTCTAGGAGTCCAAGGCTACAAACTGCATTATTAATCTTGCCGTGACTCTCGTATATCTGTAGGGCCGGGGGACCAGGCATTCAGCTAGAACACACAACTTACACACAACACATAATACAACAACTTCTCTGCTGTAACAACAGCACCTCACTCCCAACCATTTTAACACACCACGTGCGACAGAAATCTTGCGTGATGACTAAATAATAACTTCTGATTTCCAACAGTATGTTTTTCAGAGATTACCTTATCCGGTTAGCATTGCGCAGGGGTTGGTATTAGTTAGCAAGTCTCATAACTACACTTATAATTCCTTGACAAGTTCTGTTGGAGCGGTACTATGCAGAGCGAGAAATCAAAGGGGAGCCCTTGTGCGACGCTAACCGGATAAGGTAATCTTTAAAAAACATACACACACTGGGGGGGACGCCGGATCTGGGAATGAGAGCACTACGTAACCAAACATGTCATTCACTGGTTCGATATTGCATTATTGTGTGAAGCTGTTAAGTCGCAACCTTGCGGACTTATTTTCTAGAAAAGTAATCATTCGGTACAATTCCGTGGGACTTTTGACTCACTATGCCTGCGTGTATATACCTAGTTATGTGCATTTGAACTGGGGACTGGCCCGACTGGGGAGCCCTGAGCCCTTGCCTGTCCTGGTTTCCGAATGCGGTAACATAGCGTCGCAAAATCCCACGGCAACCTAGTAAGTCACGGCATTCTATTCAGTAAGTTAGGAGTAAATGTGGCTTTGATTTGATATGCAGCTAGGATACATGACCTACCGTCAAATCCTTCAAGTCCTTCAATGTCTCTTGACTGCAGCCATCACGTCCCCTTTTCACTACCTGCACGATAAAACTCAACAGAGTCAGGTAGCCTATTGCCTTCGTCCAGCGCCAAGCTGTCTCTGGAAGACTCCTCCATTCAACCATTGAGATCTCCCCCGGATTGCCACTTGGTAATTTCGTATTCGCTGACACCGAGGCATACTAGGGGTTGGATTCACCGTTGGAGACCAAAGTTCTGCAAGTCATTGCGTCCGTTATCGCGTGTATCTAACAACGCCTCCCGTTGGTCGGGACCTAAGTCGGCCAATGCGTAAGAATCCTAAAGGGGGTAACTATTGGTGAAATCCAGAGTTCTTTTCGAAAACCTCGATTCCATAATCTGTACGCGCAAACCTTACAGTGGCGACCACGAACGATATCTATGCTTCCCACCCCAGTCGTCGTCACAACCAGTTCATTTTTCGCCAGGTAAATGCTTGGGAACGTTTCTGAGAATGGAAGGTCAAATGTAATCCCTTCTCTGAGACTCCGAGGATGTAAATACGTACTGATTTAGAGTTTGGGGGAAGCCTCGGTCAATCGAACCATCGTATCTCAATGTCTTCATGAGTCATGGGTCAAGAGAACAGCCTCTTCGGCTAGATGTGTTGAGACAGGTAATATAAAAAGCCGAAGCCTCTTGATAATGATTGAAGGTCAACAGAGACGGACCACAAGCCCATCAAGTCTTGAACCAGCCGTTCAGTTCCCATTGGCCATTCTCACCTTCATAGTTACTAGTCACTTTGCGGTTCTCCCTCGCTCTTTTGGCAATTCCCTTCTCCCTTCGCCGCAGCAGTCACTACCAGTGTCCGCTGGAGATGGGAGAAACTATATCGTTACACTGAAGCCTGGAAACTCCGTCGAAGCGGCCGAATTCGATATAGTCAAACCTCTTTACACCTACAACTTCGAAAAGTTCCAAGGCATTGTAGCTCCATTGACTGCTGATGAAGCAGCAAGGATATCCGCCGACCCTCGAGTAAGCAGTATCGCTCCTTGAGACCACTGTAAACGTCTAACCCACCCATTAAAGGTTGCCAGTGTTCACATCGGGGGTGACGGCATTGCGAAAAAGACTCGCATTTTGGGTATCGAGTTCTGCTATGAACTTGATTGTCAAGGAGCTTCGATACCGGCTGGCATTCAGGAGGCCATCAACCATTATCAAGCCAATCGAGATTCGCTCTGTAGGAAAGGAGGTGTCCTTAGTTTGTCCGTCGGCATTTCTAATTACGGCTGGCCGGAAGAATACGGATACAATAATCCCGAGTTCGATGCAGTCAATGCCGCTGTAGAGCAAGCCTACAATGCTGGTAAGTAAAGGAGACCAAGGTGCTAAACCAACTAATCTTGGGTATAGGATTATTCGTTGCCGCCGCTGCAGCTAATGCGAACCTTTCCGCGGAGTATTTCTCTCCAGCCGCATCACCGTACTCATGCACGGTGTCGGCATCGGATATACAAGATGTGAGGCCATTTTGGGCGAACTGGGGCCCACCCGTCGATGTTTTCGCGCCTGGTGCCCAGGTTCTATCTGCTTGGATTGGGCCCAACAATGACGAAACCGTGAGTTCTTCTGCAACATGTAGATGCATTTGTTGATTCCTTGGGTGCTGGCAATCGAACTATAGGCGATTGCCGATGGAACATCCATGGCCACTCCTCACGTCGCCGGTTTGGTTGCGTATCTCCTTGGGGAACCCCTGGGCTGGCTCCAGGAGCACTTTGTGCAAGGATCAAGTCGCTTGCGACAAAGAATGTTGTTGAGTTGGGCGATATTGACCGATTTCCTACGACAAGCGATGTCGCTTACAACGGTAAGATCACGAAGTCTTTGACATTCGGGGAGGCGCCTCGGCTGACATGATTCCGTTGAACAGGATTGTAGCAAGAATAGAGGCAATATGAATACAATAGGCAGTCATTCTCATCCGCATCCGCCTCCAATCCCAATAAAAAATCAAGGCAACGACAGTAAAGGGGATCTTACCTAAATGACGAAAAAGAAACCTTCGGCAGTCTGGATTCATGACAGTCCTTCTCGTAGTTGTACTCTCTTGATACGCATGGACTGAACCCGGAGAGGACATGCTCAGATAAAGCATGTACCCAGTAGCACAAATCAAGGTTTTGAACCCTCGATTCGAATTAGCGAATAATTATTAGCCTGGCCTGGTCTGCCATAAACTCGACCTGGGAAACTCTCTCGACTCTCATGCAGTGGATCGATCAAGTATGCATAGATGTCAATCGATCTAGACTCAGGTACTGCAGAAACTTGCTGTTCAGTCGCAGTTTCCTGAGGGTTCGCAGCCGACTTCTCAGGAGGTGCTGTCATTAAATTCCGACTAACCGTTAATTACTGGGCTTTTTATAGCATACTCAGCAATGCCAGGATCAGAGTGCCGCATGTCCGCATCACGCATGAGGCATGAGCCCGCATGACGGCATGAGCCAACCTGGCACGTCAGCTGGCCCCCTATTGGCCACACCCCCCATGTCGGCTACCCCAAAAGAAATCAACTGTACTAACCAAAATATCCATAACGAGTCGTCAGACTGCACACCTTTCGGATTGATACCTTACAGAAGAGATTAGTGGCCATATGGCCTAACGATAGGTGAAGTTGGTATGTTGTGTTGCCGTAGACGCACACGCGAGGCTACACAAGGGAGTCGAGCAATATGTAGGAGTAGTTCCTCTCCTCTTTATCTTCTTTCTTTTCTTCTTTCTTATCTTTTGTTTGGTCCGATACTACTATACGGAGTAACTAGAATACTATAGCCGTGTTCTAAACGGTTCCCCTTGTACGCACTGTGACAGCCTCTAGTATTCGTCCAGTCTCCAGTATTCGTCCAGTCTCCAGTATTCGTCCAGTCTCCAGTATTCGTCCGGTCTCCAGTATTTGTCCGGTACTAGGAGGCCTATATATAGGGAAATATATATATTGGCCTAACGGCGCAGTAGTCTACCTCAATTCTGTTCTTAATCTCGTACCTGCTAAGAAGCTTCTCTTTTCCCGACCTCGACCAGAATGAGCAAGACTTTCACCATTTTCGGTGTGACTGGGCAGCAAGGCGGTGCTTTAGTCCGGTACTTACTGCGAAACCCCGCATTTTCCGCTATATATCGGCTACGAGGCGTCACGAGAGATGCTTCCAAACCCGCGGCGGTTGAGCTTCGTAAGCGGGGCGTCGACATCGTCGAGGTATGTGCCGTAAAGCCTCAGGATCGGCGCCATCTGGCTAACGCCGGCTCCAGGCCAACCTGGACAAACCGGACACTTTAAGAGTTGCCGTGAGAGGATCATATGCAGTGTTCGCAGTGACAAACTGGATGTCCCGGCTCGAATCTTATTCTTTGCATACTAATTGGTATTCAGATTGGGAAACCGCCCAGGCAGCCGTTGAAGTAGCGCAAGGTAAAGCTCTCGCAGACGCCGCCGTTGAGGAAAAGGTCGAGTTCTTCATCTGGTCGTCCCTTCCACCTATCGGGATTCCCCATTTCGACAGCAAGGCCGAAGTCGAACGGTATATTCGGACCCTCCCCCTCACGAGCGTCTTCTTCATGCCCGGATGGTTCATGCAGAATTTCCAGTCGGTCACAAAACCTCGTAAGATCACCGACGAGAAATACGTCCTCGATCCGATCATCCCGTCCGCTACGGCCTCGACACGTGTGCCTCTGATCGATATCGAAGATATTGGAAAATACCTGGCTCCAGCCCTTCAGGATCCTCCTAGATACAATCACACACGTCTTTTTGCTGCCACGGCCTTTTATACTCTTGCCAGAATCTGTCGGGTCTGGACCGAGTGTACAAACACGGAGGTCGTTTTTGAAGGCGCTGACCATGCAAAGAAATCGACAGAAGCACAAGAGGAGGGACTTTCTGAAGACCTTGGATCTGGTAATCTAAGCTATTACGGTGCAGAGGGGGAGCAGGGCGTCGAGTGGACCATTCGTCAGGTACAAGAGAAGTTGACCACATGGGAGGACTTCGTTAAGGACCATGAGCCATGGTTCTCCTAGTCTAAGACTATAATAGTGGACTAAGAGGTGCCAGAGGCAGACTGGATCATCATATCTATTAGGCGAGCGTTAATTCTATAGAGGTTTCATCTTAGATTAGCCCCAGCATCTCCAGATCTTCAACATTTACTCGCCGGGAAAGGTTTAAATATCGTGTAGGTTTCATAATTATGCCAGTGAACAATGATCCTTCTGTGCTACATAATATGCGTATGACCTCAATAGTCAACTCGGAATGTGTCTCTTCCAAACAACAGCAGCTCGGATGGCTCTCTTACAACTTCGTCTCTAAGTAGACCCGGAAACCACCCACCTCTCATTTCCACTGGTGGACTCTCAGCTTTGAAGGGTGTCAATCAGAGTAGTTTCAACAATAAGTTTAAGAGAATCTAGTAGCCACATAGTCTGCAAAGTCTCCTCTTGGATCGCATTCCAACCCGCTTCATCGTGAAGATGGACCAGCCCCGAGACTGTGTGAGCGCAAATCTTAACAATCTCGCGTCTAGCTTGAGTTCGTGTTGATGTAGCATTTTCTGCTGCCCCATCGTGTCGTGAATCACTGGTTATGAATGAGCCATCGGCGAGGGCAGCACTCGCCAAACGTTGCGCTTCTGTGTTCGCCGGGGAAGATGGGGGGTGATTCCCGTTCGACCCGCCATTCATCGTCGCCGTTGAGGTCGTATGAGGGAGCGTCTGATCGGGAGCGAACCGGCCGAGGCTCTGATGGACCTCTGCGAGTACTGTGTTGAAGGATATTCCAGTGATGCAAGGATGGTTCGAGAGGGTAATCGTGGTTCCTCCTAGGATGAATTCTTCCTCGTCTAGAAATATGAGACGAAGCGTGGCTGGAGGCGGGCCAAAGGACGCATATGTCTGGATCGGGACGCTGGAATATGGTTGCGCCATCTGGGGAGAGTTTCGCAGGTTCGGATCGAGGCTCTTCGTAGCCGGTTAGCAGAGGTGCATTTTACAGCGCATAGGACATCTCCTTACCAGTGACACAGCAGTTGATGGCTCCTTGGCAGGTGTTTCGTCAATGGAAGGCTGTGGATCGACAATATCTTCTTTGGATCTTGCAGCTTTTGCATTCCCTGACTTGCGTGCTACCAGAGCGTACTGTCGTTGGCGCTCGTTCGTGACCATGCGACGAAGGAGGGGGGTAATAAGGGAAATGATCTTGTTACCGTCGTGCGGCCAAATCCACTTCCTATTGTCGTTATCGTTGACCCCAAAGCCGACGCCGTCCCCAGCCTGGTCTTCCGTGCACGCGTTCGGGCCAAAGAATTTGTCACCGGACCCCTCGTTGAGAAACTCGCGGACGCAGTTGAAAAGTCGTAGCCGGACAATATCAGTGTCGCCTTTCCCTCGTTGGCCAACACAGTCTTGCCGCTCCGGATGCGCAGTGTCAAGCATGTACTGCTTCGCAGCAGCTTGGAGGTGAAGGAAATTGTCTGGTGTTAGCCGTAGTGAGCTGTACAGTTTGGACATAGGCGGACGGGTGTATTTCTTCGTCGATACGCTGGTTCCCCGGAACAAAGCCGCAGCACTATGTACTCCAACAACACGGGCTTCTGCTAACACGGATGCTGGGTACGCAGTAGTAGCTCCGTCGTCTGCGTGTCCCAACCTCTCGTCGACTTCAGTCGAGCTGCTCTTCTGCCTCTTTCGACGCCCTGCACTCCCTCGCGTCGCGCTGGGCGCTTCCGCAGTCCCTTCTGCTGCTTCAGATAGTCCTGTTGCTCTTTTACGCTTCACCCCAGCCTGAGCGGTTTCAAGCGGTACACCTTGCTTTTCGCCTGCTGTATCGCGATGGCCGCCGGCGCTCTTACGATTAGCCCCCCCTTGCTCCCCCATGTCATTCTCTTGACCGCCCACAGATTCCATGACCTTCAGTAGTCCAGCGATATTGCTGTTGAGCGCACGATCTGCATCACCTTGGTTCTGTTCTACGAAAGCGGCATCGTTACCATACAAATGGGTATTAGTTTGGTCGGCATGCGGTGGTAGACCATAGGCTTCATCACCACAAGAGTAAGGGCCTTGGAAACCATTAGGAAGGTCATAGTAAGGTGCTGTTGGATTTGGGCCGGTTGTCTCTGGGGTACAGCTAGTCATTTTGCCCAAAACCTGCTCGAGAGGCCTGATTTAAATGATTCAAGGACGGAGGCACAGCACCGAATGACGCAAGTGAGCGCGCATTGAGAACTGTCAACCCCTACAATTTCTAGTCAGCGTCCCCAAGCTGGTTTATGCGAGACAGTTCAGGACTACTTCAGAAGTCTAGCAAGAGAAATAGATGGATGTAAGGAGTACTTACGAAAAGTTCAGGGGTTGAGAGCGCCTGGCAAACAACTCGCATTGTCACTTGTCAGTAAATTACTGACAAGCTGTTTGTATCGTTGGCGATGTTTGCTGGAATGCAAAACATTTAAATGCGGCAGTGTGCAAAACGCGGGTGGAGTGGAGTCGGAGTCGGAGAAAGCCGAACTCCGACATCTCCGACCTCATGTCCAGACTCGAAATGGCACTTCGTCCTGAATATGAGAAACGACCGAGAGCATCTTGTTCGCGGTGTTTATAGAATTCAGTTAGGCTTCAATGCCACCAGCATGATATAGAGTCAAGACAGATTATTCCACTAGCAACGCCCCTTAAGGTCCACGCCCCAAGAGATATGTAAGTATAAACAGTCATGTAATCTCCCTCATAGTCTATCCGTATTTCCTTTCCCCAACTCCAGATCAACGTGTCTTCCTTCTACCCGAAGTATGTATCCATGTCAAGGTAAGACAAATCATCCTCCAACAGATTCATGATCACCTGGTTCTCGGGATTGCTAGTCATGCTCATCCGCTGGTCTGGTCCTGTGACGGGACCATTGGGCCATGTCGCATTGCCGATGAAGCCTGGCGTTAGTTCTAGCGCGTTCAAATAGCGGTCGAACTGATCGATTCCCCATTGGTTGTTGGTCTGCTCTGCGCCTACACCACCACTCATTTGCTGCTGCACCAGAGCCCCGCTCCCTGCCTTCTTTGCCTCCACGTACGTTTTCGCGACGTGGTGAAGGACGGAACAGAGCTTGTGGAGTTTGGCGCAGACTTCGGTTTTCTGCACGGCAGAACCGAAGGAATTGACGAAGCCATGGAGCAATGCCAAGTCGTGCTCATCCGAGAAGGCTATGCTGTGGCAGAAAACAACGATGAACGGCGTCAATGGCGCATTGATAATTGCACTGCCGAAGTTAGTAGTCCGTATGAGAGTGTACAAAATTGATTCGCTTACAAGTTGAGGTAAGTCGACCACACGTCTTCATGTTTGTGTTTCTCGGAGATCGCATTATGAGAAGCAAGTGTGCTTCGCGCTGACTCCAGACATTCCTTATTGACGAACCCCCGGCTGTCTCCTGGAATAGCATAAAAGATGAGAGTTCTTACTATATGTCTGGAGACCACCGTCGACGATAGCAAGAGTTTGATAAAGTCCGGTCCCTCGCTGCTGGACTTTTCTATCTGTAAAGCAGTAAGTAACAGGCAAATCGAGATGGCAGGGCCATCCAGATAGCGCTTACGGTAGTGGCCTCGAGTCCTACTTGCTCAAGATCTTGCGCAAGTTGGACAGCGGTACCTATCCGCCTGTCGGTGCTTTGTTTCAAAGCTCGAGGGCTGTACAATTCTTCATAGACGCGCCCTTCTATATTTGACATCTTTACCCAAAAGCCGATCTTATCTATCCAAATGTCCTTCTCAGGGATGCCGAACCGAACTGGAGGGGTAATATCTACGTCAAAGTCCTGAATAGCAGGAGGTCGCCCGAGGCGAAGTGATAACGATTTGTCCGTGATGTAGGCCGACCAAAAGGCGATATGTTTCGTGGCTCGCACCTCGATTGAGTCGTCCGTCATGGTGGAAGCACGGTGGTAGCCCAGCATCATGCATAGTCGAACAGCGGCAGAGTTATACGTCCAGGTTTGGTTAACCCGTCCGTTTTCCATAGAATCCGAACTCTGTAGATGGTTATCGGAGCCGTTCCGCAAGTATTTAAAACGGATGACTTACTGCGATAAGCAATGCGTCAATATATTCTCCAGTGGCGGGCATATTCAACGGCATCTCATTCAGGCTCTTTTGGAAATTGGCGCGAAATTGCGTAATACACTTCTCAAATGTTTCCTTCTCTATTGGGTCATTGGTCATCCATGCTTGCTCTTTGCAAAGATACGCTAGACCTCCGTGAACAATGACAGATGTTGCTACATCGACCATGAACGGGTCGAAGTACACCGCCTTGCATTTTTCGACGAACACGGGAATTGACATGTGAGGGAAGCAGCACAAAAAAGCGAAACTGAGGGTCCCTATTGTTCCTAAGGTCAGTATATGCCTCTAAGCATTGCCCGATTATCATACTTTGGAGTCTTCTGAGAATTTCTAAGACGAGGTCAATAGGAGGAAGCTCCTCGCGACTGATGCCAACGTTGGCGATTTTGCCGAGAAACGGTCGGATTTGGGGCTGTCTCTGTCGTTCAACGATTTGCTGGAGATTGTAAAGTGCCGCAGTCATCTCCGGATTCTGGGAGGTGTAGGGACTGCTTGCAACTGCATCTTTGAGGAAATTCTGCGCGATTATTGAGTTCGCGTTGACGGAGAGCTGTCCACCGTATTCGACGGGCTTTTCAGGAGACGGTTGGGCATTTGGGGTCAGGTTTGAGCTCGACTGTGTTGGAGTCAAGTATCCCGTTCCCGCTTGCGACTTATTTGACTTCCGGGTACTTGATGAATCAACGAGTGATTGAAGGAGCCCCTCGATGCGGTTTAGCTTCTCTTCCAGGGAGTCGATCTTTTTCTCACTGCACACATAATCAGGATCAAACGTTAGAATCGGCCAAGGGACGGTATTTACTAGTGAGCGGATATGAGAATCCGCTGTCGCGGTTCTCTTTGCTCGACCGTCGTTCGACATTCGGTGCCTGACGCTTTGCAGTTCGAGCATGGCAACGCCTTATCACAGCGGACCTGACCAGAAAGGATATCAGGAATAATTCACGTCGCTCAGGAGGCCCGAATCGAACAGACCTTTCGGTTTTTGCAATTATCGCACTGCGTCATGGTTAGGAGTTGGCTGGGGGAATAGATTGTGGCAATGCTTACAGCTCGCTGCAAAGTTCCTCCAATGGGCGAAGCATTGGTGGATTCTGAGGGCATGGCTGCACAACATTCCTTTGAGAGATTATAGCATTTATACTAGCGATGCAATGAACGCGGCAGCGTTCGCTTTCGTGATCTGAATCAGCTACTAAGTTTGGATGGAAATACCAATATTAGAACTCGGAGGCCGGCGGATCCGGATCAGAGAACCGCTGAACAGGCAGCAGTGAGCACGCACAGGGCAGGAACGATGATATACCCCTGTCAGTTATTACATCCATGATCCCTGTCGAAAATTTCACCTCCTCCACCGATCGATCCAAATTCTCGATTGTTTTTGCTCGACCCGGTATCATACAGGTATCAATCCTTCAAAACATCTATTTAGGATACTTGAATACCAAATCATGCCGAAAAGAAAGCGTGAAGTTGGGGATGCCGCAACGAAGGCTCCAAATGCAAAGGTTGCCCGCTCCGTCTTGAGCACTGGAGGATTTACATCCATTCAGATCATCACTGGTTCATACAATCGAGTTCTGCACGGAGTGGTTGCACAAATTCCCCTGGCGTCTCAGATTGAGGATGAGACTCCGACCGATGGAGACTCCGAAACCACGAAAGTCTTCTTCTCAGACAGCTTCCTGTTCCACGCCCACTCCTCCGCCCTCCGCTGTCTCGCTCTATCACCAGCCCCTCCCCCCTCCGAGAACCAGACGCAGAAGCGCCTGCTAGCCACTGGCAGCACCGACGAGCGCATCAACATCTACCAGCTCTCCAACGCCCCTCCGTCGACCCTCAAGCCCCAGCTCCCGTCGATCAATGGCGCCACCCTGTCCGAGAACCCGAAGAATCGCGAAGTCGGCAGCCTCCTCCATCACGCCTCGAGCATTACCGCCCTTCATTTCCCGACGCGCTCCAAGCTGCTATCGGCTGGCGAAGACAGCACGGTCGCGGTGACGCGAACGAGGGATTGGACGGTCCTATCGACGATTAAAGTCCCGGTTCCGAAGATCGTCGGGCGCCCCAGTGGTGATACGGCAGGACCGGGCGAGGTGCCCGCAGGAGTGAACGACTTCGCAGTGCATCCGAGCAATAAGCTCATGTTGACTGTGAGCAAGGGCGAGAAATCTATGCGATTGTGGAATCTAGTCACGGGGAAGAAGGCAGGCGTATTGACCTTCGACAGAGCAGTGTTGCAGCAGGCCGGCGAGGGGAAGCATGGGAGGGGGGAATGTAGGAGGCTAGTCTGGGATGAGGAAGGCGAAGAATTTGCGGTGTGCTTTGAGAGAGGCGTCGTTACCTTTGGCATGGTGCGTATGAACGAGAGTTGCCTTCCATGAGATGTAGTGCTGACAATCAAAAGGACTGTAAACCCAAAGCACGGATTTTGCCCACGCCAATCACCAAAATCCACCAAATCCAATATCTCCCGGAGTCGTTTGGAAAGGTGCTTGCTGTGTCAACTGAGGACGGCCGAGTTATTTTATACTCGACAGCGTCTCCTGATGAGCCCACGGATTCTGCTAGCAACGGAGAAGCGAAGTCGGTCCCCGAAGAACATGTTGCAGAGAAGAAGACGTCTTCTTCCGACCTCCCTAGTTGCGACCTAATCGGGGTTGTAGGTGGGGACTCCATGGCGATCAGTGGACGAATCAAGGACTTCCAAATTCTCGAGGTACCCGGGCAGGGAAAACCGAGTGAGGATCTGATTCTGGTTACCGGTAGCAGCGATGGAACGATTCGGGTGTGTTTAATTTCAAAGACGGACCTATCGGAGCCAAGCGAATCACCTGGCACAAGCGGATCCGAGGATGCGTCTCAACCAGAGCGGGAGATTGGGACATTCCTGGAAAGCTATGAAACCAACCACCGCATCACTTGCCTCAAGGCTTTTGTGATGACTGGCAAGCCGGACGAGGAGGTTGAGGACAAAGAGGAGTGGGGAGGGATAGAGGAGGATGATACCCAAAGTTCCGAGGAGAGCGAATGAACAAGCCAAAAGTCTGCTGCGTATGAATTCCATTGTTCCAAATGCCGAGTTAGTTCTGTCCCTGTCTATAAATTCGTCGTCACCGTCATACTGTTACTATGCACCATCAATACCGGTGGACATCCCTCGCACAACACCTCCAAGTCTCTCAAATACGTGATGCTCGCTTCCTCATTCTCCCCCGTCCCTGCAACCGGGCTGGGCAAGGTGGTAAATATGACCGCCGTGTCCGCGCTCTGAGACCGCATCAACTCGTTCAAGATCATATGCTGCGCTCGACAGGGCAGATCGTTAAAGCTGATGGGAAGCGATTGCATAGTCAGGGCCAAGTCACGACTATATATCGAGGTTTTGCCGTGTGACTTAGACCGGTCTCTCTTGCCATAAGGTCCGTCTCGCTGCGTTGTGCGCTCCCCGTGATCGGGTTGTGGAAGGTCGATGAACGCGATGCTGGGTCCTGGTGCTTGTACGGGGTCTGGCCTTGCTACAGGAGACTTGGGGAACGACGCAGCCGTTGCAACTCGTTCATCCACGGTCGAAGTGTTGGGGGACTCAAACGTGTCTATAAGACTTTCTGGATCGGCTGGACGAGGGGGGCCTTCGGGTTTGATCGCGGATGGATGGACAGCAATATCCGACCCTCTCCTCCCTAGGCCAGTGGATCCAGATGCAGATGGGATTGATGGCCTTGCAGCTGTAGTATCGTAGCGCACCGAGCCGAACCCGCCAACCGTGTTCCGTCGGGAACCAGAAATCCGTGGCAACTCTCTACTGTCTTCTATGCCATTCTCGCTCGCCGCCACGTCTGAGTCGGACAACCCATCGTCATCACTCGACCCGGAGGTGGAGCATTCGCTGGAACTGTCATTCATAAGATTCGGGTCGAGTCGATGGGTCTGCATGCCCATGGTCACTCCTAGCCTGCTCATCTCGCTCATTGACGCGCGCCGTCTCTTCTGAAGTCTATTTCGGAGTCCAGAGACCCCAGACGACACCAATGGATCTCTGCTGTGTTGAAATGATGAGCCAGGCCAATTGGTCCCTACACCGCGGAGGAGGCCTTCCATCTCCGCGAGCTCTTCGCTGGGCGTGATGTGCCCCGACTCGCGCCGTAATCGCACTTGGCGAAGCTCCTGCCACCAGTCTTCGTCATGGAGAACGCCATTAACGGCTGCAAGCTGCTCGGAAGGAATGTCGGTTTTCCCGTTGACAATGACTTCATAGGTGTTTAACGAGCCACATGCGAGCCAAAAGACGAGAACTGTGGCTTCCATCCGAAGGTTAGTTAGAAGGTCTGTTACACGTCTTCGCTCTTCTTCAACATCGGACTCGTACTCGACGAACACGGCGATACGCAGCTTGTATGCCCGTTTCCATGAGGGCACAGTATGCAGAATGCAGCCGAGTTGAAGAATCAAGGTATAGGTATCGAAATTCGTGGTGGTCAAATGCTTCTTCCTCCCCTTTCCCGCGGAGGCAATTTCTGCCGACATCTGGATCGGCCAGAGATCGATGAACTGCTTCGTATTTTGGATTTTTGGCTCTTTCCTAAGTTTGAGCATTCGCAAGGAATCGTCCCACCGATCTGGCTTAGGCGCAGGCAGCTCCAGGTCTGAGAAGCCCTTACCGATGGCCACATTGATCCGGACTTGAAGGAGAAGATCTTCCAGAATCGTGACATAACTGCGTGCGCTAACTGCGCCTTCAAGTCTGTTTGCATCGGTCGGTAGGCTTTCCCCGAACCTGTCCACGCTTGCCTTCCTATTCGGTGGAGTGAGTCGCTCTTGTTCCCTAGTCGATGCGGAGGTTAAAGGATTTGGAGAGGGAATATCTATCAGCTGTTTCTGAAAGTCATTGGTGTTGATGAATCCCATGACCACGACATTTGGACGCATCCCTCCCAGACCAGCGCTCAGGACAAGGTTGCGAACTCCCCATTCAAACATTGGATTGATAGCAATGTTGACAAACGCCTTGATCTTCGAGAAGTCAATGTATTTCGTCCACGTGGCCTGTTGCTTTTTAGCCTCAGGGACTGCAGAGCTGAAGTCGTTCGTCACAATAACGTGACCAAGGATGTATAAGCCACCCTTCTTCAAGGAATTGCAGAATTGGATCAACTTGTACTGTCGACGAGGGTCGTTTACAAGTAGTAGGATTTGCGGCCTCCAAAACTTGACATGCTCTTCGCGTAGCCGCAACAGGTACTTTCGAACTTGGTGGTAGATTAGGCTCTGGCTCACATCGCCCCATGGTTTCGGGTTGGATGCGTAATGGATGACGAGAAACACGAGGGCAAGGAGCCCGATGATACCCGAAGCGTAGAAGCCGTCCACAAAGAACATGGTTACGGCGCTGGCAACGGTGCCTAGAGCGGCAGTTTCCCAATTGAAGTAGTGGAAGGATGGCCGGAAGTTTGGCGCAGAGCTGTGGCAGGTAAGAAGCAGGAACGGAATAGGGGCCGGGCAGGGAACATACCTTATCTTGAGCAAGAAGCAGGCCAGATTCATGACAAGGAATGTTAGGAGATAAGCCATTGTTGTCAGAGAAGCAATCTGATTGAGGTCAAAGAGCATGGTGAGCTGCGCAATAACATAGCTCAGGAAAATAGCAAACGTCGGCTCGTCCTTCTTTTGTGTGCCTTGGCCAAAGATATGCAGTCCAGGAACCAAATTATCTCTCGCAAGCGCCTGAAGGAGTTTTGCGGCGCCAATGAGACCCATTAATGCGCTGAAGAAAGATGATGCAACTTCGCCCATCAAGATCAGAGTGCCGGACCCATTCACTTCCGCAATAACATTCGAATTGGCGTAAAGAGAATCACGGGTGACGGTAAATGCTAAGGAAAGGATCACCAGGGCATAAAGGATGAAGGTGAAGAAAAGTCCATGGAGTGTGCCTTTCGGGATGGCCTTGCTCGGATGCTTCAAATCCCCTGACATGCTGGCTCCAGCGAAGATGCCTCCTGTAGCCGGAAACAGAATCCCAAACACATCTTTCCAAGTCTCTTTGCCCTTCATTTCACTTCCAGCAGCACCTCGAGTGAACTGCGGCAGCAGATTTTGCTCAAACGTCCGCCAACTCAACCCGGTATAACGAATGCCAGCTTCGGGGTCCTCAAACGGCGAGACGAAGAGAGTAGAAATGGGAATGCTAATGGTTGCTACGACCAAAATGATCCACAGCCCATTTGATGCTCTTGCAAACAAGCCGCTCCCAGCAAGACAGATAGTGGTACAAACGAGAAGCACCATACTTCCCCAGAGGTACTGCCACCAGAATCCTTCGGACATCCAATGGCTCCAGTTTCCGGTCTTCGTTCCGAAGTTCTCTTTGAGAATGTCGATCAAACCGACGGCATTCATCCCCGTGTTTAGGATCATGCCAAGGTAGAACACAATGCCGATGCTCCCCCCAAACTCGGGCCCCAAACTTCGAGAGATCAGGTAGTAGGTGCCCCCGCCTCTCACGGTTCCATTGGTTGCGATGGCGCTTAACGACATCGTGGTCAGCAGGTTGACTGCATAGCAGATCACGAGCATGCCAATCGTGCCCAAGAACCCGGTTTGGCCGAGGATAAAACCGAATCTCAGGAACATCAGGATGCTCAGGACATTGAGCATCGTTGGCACGAAAACTCCAGCAAAGGTGCCTAGCTTATCGGAGCCTCCCACTGGGCGCGGCAGGGCACCGACCCTGGGCTTTGGTAGCCTTTTCGTTTTCGCTTGACGTTGCAATTGTACGATGGAAGAGGGGCCGGTGGACATGAATGACTGCGCCTTGCCCGTTTCCTTGCTCTTTCTGAACGGCATCACCAACGCTGCCAAAAGGGACCGCCACTGACCTTGGTCTGCTAGGTCCCCATCTTCGGCGTACTCGTGACCCTCCCCGACATCCTCAAGATGTGCTGGTCCTCCGTCTTCCACGACTAAATGGGGGACCTGCGGGTTTGAATCCTCGACCGCCAAGTCCGGTTCTTCGTCCTCATTTTGCGTAGATGGAGTCTCAGGTATCGCAGAGTTCCTCCGTTCCAGGCGCGCAGCATCATCAAGAGCACTTCGAGTAGCAAAATTGGAATGAGAACGGTTTATCGCCTGTGGCCTGCGCCGTGCTTGCAGCCCAGATTGGCCCTCCGACATGGATGGCTAAGGGATGTGATCAGTGATGTAATGATGGCACGAAGACAAAACGGCGGGCTCCTCTTGCTGCATCACCCAGAGAGAGAGCACACGTCCTTGGCCGCAGGTTCACAGATGTTGCGATTCGATTCAAAGCATTTTTAATGTACGGAGCTGAGTTTCTCGAGAAATTGGACGTTGAGCGATTTTATCTGCGTGTAAATAGACGTGAGAGGGCGGGTGAGGCTTGAATGTACCTTAACAGTTGCAGGGTCCACGCATCTCGATATCTAATCCTTGATTCCGTGCCGTCTGACTGCATTGCACAACCAGCCACCAGGTGCCCAGGTCACAAGCTCCGAACAGCCACTCTTCCCCAGTGCTACCTTCTTTCTTCTACCATTTAAGACCTTGATATTCTCTTGGATTCCCTTTTTCAACATTTTCTTGCAGTATTTCAATCCTCAATAGACTCATAGAGTGATTCTTTGTATTATTGGAACTCCGGAGGACGAAGAATTGGCTGTACATTGGTCACCTCCATCTCCTCCTTCTAACCCGTCTCGAGCTCGGCTGGGCTGCAATTACCGGTAGTCATACAAATCCTACGCATCTCCCGTGCCAAACACCGTATTGGAACAGATTCCAAAGCCAGGGAGGATACATCGAACTATTCCAGTCGACTCGGTCCTCTACTTCTGCTCCTATATCCTGCTATACTCGACAACCGGTAGTCACCATCATGTTCTCGTCTCCGCATCGTGGGCGCTCTCCCGAACTACGGCCCCTTCCCGAATCTTCAAGTACTCCACATACCGGTAGCGTCCGAGCCGCATCGCCGCCGGAGAGCGCTCGCTCAGGCACTCCTCAGGTTGGCTCTCCTGCCCCCTACGCTCCCGGGAGCCCGTCAATACGACAGATTCCAGCTCTCACCCAATCCAACGCGGCCGAAAATTCACAGTCAAACATACCGCTCCCCGGCCTCGACAGTACGAAATCACCGCCTGGTAGTGTCCCCGGAGAGTCTGCCCTGGCAGCCGCGTTTAAATCTGCCTCGAAAGAAAGCCCTCCTCGATTCGGAACACCGCCGCCAATACGTGCTCTCTCACCTGTTCCCTTGAATGGGGACTCAAGAGTGCCTCGGAGCAATTATGGTTCCTTTGACGGCAGAAGCAGTCCAGCACCGTTTGAGGATCCGGAAGTTATTCGTCGACATCTTGTCACCGCTTCGGGACGAAATTCGGTTTCAAATTTCGCCACGAACTCTGCCGAAGGTTCTTCCTCGCACCGGGGACGAGAAGGCTCTGCGGACCTAGGCACGGATACCTCGACGGGCCCGGCTCTCGACCGAGACGAATTCTCCAGTTTACAGCTCCAGGGTGGAGATGTGACACGGCAGATTTACCGGTGGTCGGAGCAACAGGAACATCAAGGCTCAACGAAGAGGAGCAGAAGCTTCCATGAGCCGCGTCCAAGACCAGACGAACAGATATTGGATATCGGAACCATCAAACAGCCGGGAGGATTTCGTCGTAACCATCTCAGGCGGCAGGCTGTCTCCCCTTCACCGGAGCGGAGTATCATCGGGCCCGATGGAAGTGTCGTAACCGAGCAACGGAGACCCCGTCCGCAAGTTTTCACGGACAACTTCATCGAATTCCTGAGCCTCTACGGGCATTTTGCCGGAGAAGAACTCGAAGAAGAGGAGGACGAATCGGATGCGTACTTCACCAGCGAAACCTATGAGGACGAGTACGAAGAAGGCGAAGAAGAGCCACGCGAGTATGGGGAAGATAGCGCCTTGCTTACCCCCGGACGCCGGAAGAAACGAAAGGAGAAGCCCGAGCACGGAGGCTCGCCGTCGACAGCCGCGCTATTGCTTCTCAAGAGCTTCGTCGGTACCGGCGTCCTCTTCCTCCCTCGCGCGTTCCTAAACGGCGGGATGCTCTTCTCGAGCCTTGTGCTGCTCGTCGTCTCCGCGCTGAGCTATTACTGCTTCCTCCTGCTCGTCGGCACGCGTCTCGCCGTGCCGGCGAGTTACGGTGGCATGGGCGAAAAGCTATTCGGCAAGTGGATGAAAACGATAATAAATTTCTCGCTCATCATCAGCCAACTTGGATTTTCGTCCGCGTACATTGTCTTCACGAGCGAAAATCTCCAGGCATTCATCCTCGCAGTTTCGAAGTGCAAAACACGCATCGACATCAAATTCATGATCTTGATGCAGATGATCATTTTCCTCCCGCTGAGCCTATATCGGAACATCAACAATATTCAGAAGCTGGCGTTGGTAGCCGACCTCTTTATTATGCTTGGTTTGATCTACCTCTACTACTACGATGTTATAACCTTGGTCGGCCAAGGGGGCATATCGGATGTTAAGCTCCTCAATCCGCGAGATTGGACGTTGTTCATCGGGACAGCAATCTTCACCTTCGAGGGAATTGGACTCATTATCCCCATTCAAGAGAGCATGCGCCAGCCGAAGAAATTTCCACCGGTGTTGGGGGGCGTCATGGTCATCATCACCGTCATCTTCACCTCGATGGGTGCCCTGTCCTACGCCGCATACGGCAGCAAGACGCAGACCGTCGTCATCCTCAACCTGCCGCAGGATGATAAATTGGTCAACGGTGTCCAATTCATCTATTCCCTCGCCATCCTCCTGTCCACCCCCCTCCAATTCTTCCCGGCCATCGAGATCACCAGCAAATATATCTTCCCCAAAACGGCGAGGGGCAAATACAACCCGAGGATCAAGTGGAAGAAGAACGTGTTCCGCTTCTGCATGGTCGTCTTGTGTGCTATGATTGCTTGGGTTGGCGCGAACGATCTCGACAAGTTCGTGGCGCTCGTGGGAAGCTTTGCCTGTATTCCCCTTGTCTACATCTATCCGGTAAGTCCCCGTGTATCTTTCGACACCATCTCCGGTTCGCTGACCATTTTTTTCCGACAGCCGATGCTACACTACCGCGGCGTGGCAACTAAGACTTGGCAGCGCGGTATAGACATATTCCTGATCGTCTTTGGGGGAGCGGTTATGGTATACACGACGGTACTGACCGCGAAGAGTTGGGTAAGCGGCAATACGGAGAAGCAGCCGGGCTATTGTGATCAGCTCTGAGGAATTTTGGAGTCATATAGAGTAGATGAGCTGGTGACAGCAAGCATACTGTTTTGATACTTATTTACCCCCGTTTATGACCTTCGTAGTCGAGTGATAGCGTCTGGTGATAGCAGAGCTGCAAGTGTGCAGGGATTCCGATTCCGATTCATCTGATGATTCACGATTCTCCGCTGCAGGCATCAAGGCATCAATGAGTGTCTGCCTGACATCTTGAATCTGATATTCCACCGCTGAGCCATAATAATGTGAACGTTGTACCTGAGTTCTAGATCAGATTTGTCTGTCGCAATTCACGGTTAAACGCTCAACATTCGAAGTCTCTTCTCCTATTTCCTTTCTATCACCCTTGTCGCAGAAAAGACCCATCCAAAATGACATCCACGATCGGGATACCCATCAAACTACTAAACGAGGCGACGGTAGGCTGAATCCCTCCTAACGACCATACTTTGAATCTAACTCTATTCCAAGGGTCATGTTGTCACCCTCGAGCTCACCTCGGGGCAGGTGTATCGTGGGAAGCTCCTAGAAGGTACCGAATCCACAGCGACGAAGTACATCCAGCACTGACGTCCGTCCTAGTTGAGGATTCAATGAACGTCCAAATGAAGGATCTGGTCGTCACCAGTCGAGAGGTATGTGGCGTGTCGCATATTGAATACCGATCGAATACTGAGAACACAACAGGGCCGCGTTACCCACCTCGACCAAGTCTACATCCGCGGATCGCACGTCCGATATTTCATCGTCCCCGACATGTTGAGGTATGCACGGGAGGAGCGACAGACTGGTTCGGATGCGAAGATGGATGCTAACGCGGGTTCCAGGAATGCGCCGATGTTCCGACAGAAGGACAAGAAAGGACGAGGTGTCGGGCTGGCGAGAGGGCGGGCGACCGTCAGCAGAGCAAGGGGACAGCGCGGAACCGGAGGCGGAAGATGAGGAGGGAGATTGGCGTTTCTCATATCAGGTTATTGGGTATCCATATGGTGCTCCGCCCGTACACAGCCGCCGGAATAGAAGGGCTTGGACGATGATCAAGTGGCAGGACCCGGCGGGTTGAAAACGGGTGACTACTGGTGTTGACGGCGCAGGGCATGCGACTAAGTATTTGTGAGAAAATTCTGGATCAGGAAAATCCTGTTCATGATTCCTCGATTTGTATTTGGAATGGCAGCGAATTTATGGTGGTGCGCAAATGGAGCACCACCTGGAGCCCTGACAACAAATTTTATACATTCCAAACATGACCCATCGCACATAAACCACAATCTTGACGATAAACTATAACCGGCGCACCATGGAAGTTCCGAACCCAAATCGTATCCTCGTGCTTGGCTCTCCAGGTTGCGATGCTCTAAAACTCGTCCGAGACCTGACCGGGTCCGCGCCAACGCCAATCGACGAATCCATCGCCGGATTGATCCATACCTGGTCTCTTTCGACGAAGTACTACACGGCCGAGATCCCCCTCTGGATCGACCAAATCTCAGACCTGGACGCTTGGAAAGATGATTTCCTCAGCGCGGAAGCCCAGGAAGTGATCCAGGCCCTCGGCGGGTGGATATACTGCTTCGCCAAACCGGTCGACGACGGCGAGCTGGAGAAGATCAAAACCGCGCTCGGCGCCTTCTCGCAGGTGATTCGGAATGCTTCAGAGGGGACTCTGGAGATGGTTCAAGTCGCGGTCGCGATGCCACAGTCACACACACCGCAGCTGAACGTTGACGGGGACACGTGGGATGATATTTGCCAGGAGCATGGATTTGAATTTGTCGACGTGGAATCTACGGGGCGAAACCAGTATGGAGGTAGGTAAACATCTCATTGATGTATAATTCTGTAGCTGTCTAACAGCTTGTCAGAACTCACTGGCGTGCCTCGTTTGCGCGAGGCTCTGGAGGCAAATGACTGGGCTGGCGTAGATCCTGATGACGACCTCACACTCCAGGATGATGCGGATGAGGTCGAAGCGGATGACATGTCGCCATTCACTGGGCAAAGAAGCGAACTGATGGAAGCCTTGAGCTCTCTTCGCGGCGATGCTGACGAGGATAATGGCGGCACGGAGCAGGATCAGGTAGAGCAACTAGAGAAGATGATGCGGAAGATAACAGCGCTCCGAGGCAAGTAGATCCATTGCATACATATTATTCTCGATGCCATGCTAATTGCGATGTAGATACCCACGGAAGCATACCAGAGGCCCAGCGCAAAAAGCTAGCCGGAGATGTCGCCAACGACCTCTTCAAGTCACTCGACTAGCTCCAACAATTCATGAGACGGCGAGAGCCTGAATTCCATTCCCCATTCCTTCCATCAGTGCCTGCCCCTTCCTCATTCCCTTTAACGTTGCTGCTCATATTTCGCTCCCGGGGACCCTTTGATCTGCGGAACCGCCGGGCCAGTGTGCGGACGAACCCTCCTCTCTTTGACGATGATCACATCATTCGACGGGGAGCTTAATCTGCGCTTATGAATTCCCGCCGGACCGTGTGGCGGGTTGCCTTGAGCGCCCGCCGGGAGCGTTATTGGAGGTTGCGGCATTGCACCTACGTCCGCTTGTTTGTTCATGGCCGGTTCGGGGGGAAGCAGGCGTCGAAATCCGAAGGCGCCGGATGGGGAACATTGAAAGGTTCTCATCTCGAGTGGATTTGAATTCGTAGATGGCCCTTGCATCACTGGAGGTTGCGTGGCGATTGGAGTTGAGAATGGCGGCCATTGTCCAACTCGCTGTCCGCATGGGGGTGCAGGTTGGTAAGAGTTTCGCATATCTGAGGCGTCCCCCACACGCTGTCCGGAGCTTGGCGGTGGAGAAAGGAGCTGTTGCGTGCTGGCATCGCAGCGGAATGGTCGGGGTGGACTCGTCCTAGTCGGCTCGCGTTGAACTGGCTGGGGAGGGAACTCGGCGCCGGTAGCTGGTTCGTTTCGTTGCGGCCCTCCCAGGGCGGGTGACGAGACTTCGACTCTCGGATGAATCAGGATTTCGGCATCGGCGCTGGAGAACTTCTTGCATGCTTCCTTTTCGACTTCCTCCACCAGCCCTTTCAGTGCACGAACTCGGTTGTTGACGCCGCTGATCCAGGGGCCGTGGACAAGAGTCTCAAAATTGGTTCCTCCGGTTGTCTCATTCTGTTTATTTGCGGAACTCTTATCAGACGATCTATCTCTGACTGCTGTTTGGTCTAGCGCGGGTACGCCACGGACGAGGACCGCTTTCCTTCGGCCGGCGGGATCCTGAACGATGACGGTTCGTAAATCGCTCTCTTCCGTGTCGAATAGAGTAACTGTATTGGTGAAGAAACATTCCTCCTCGTCTCTGGACAGAATGGCATGGGGGAAGAGGTATCGCACTTTAGACGAAAACATCTGGGATGGCTGGTGGTTCATAAAAGTCATGAAGCCAGTGTGTGGGCAAAAAGGAAACTACTCTCCAGGTTGATATGTCTCGCACTTGTGTTTGTACATCACGGGATCATTCCATTGTTAGCTATAGATTCATCTAGACTATGCCACTAATATCAATGAAGGCCCGAAAATCAGAACGTCCCTGAACGATGAATTGTAAAGAAATGCACAATACAAAGACTTCAAGTTTGGCAAACGCGGCGGTCCGCAAACCTACTTTAGGACATGTCGCAATTACATTCCATTAAAGGGAAGAGTCATGGAAAGACTAAAGATTGGAGGAAACTGAAGTTGTGATGGGTGTATGGCGGCTTTGATTCGTGTCGTAGCACGCCTAGGTTGAAAATATAGCTCGCTGCTTCATGGTCTGCATAAAAACCTGGAGAGATAGTTTGGGCTCTGTTCGGATGTTAGCCTTGAATTTCTTCGGGGGGCACTTCTACTTACGTTCATACATGACCATTTGTCCGGCGTTATAGACCCTCAGAAAGGAGAGTTTACCCGCACTCTTGAAGGAGCCGAGCTCTACGCCATTGACGGTGTAGGGGACCAATTCTTTTGAATTGAACTCTTCTTGACCAGCATGTTTGAGAGTCTTTGCGACTTCGAGATTACCATACCAGTTGTGTTTCCAGTCCGCGTCGCCCGCCCAGATTAAAACCGTAACATTGGCTGCCGCCACAGCCTCAAGGACAGGGAGGAACGAGACAGCGTCTTCCTTCGTTAGAGCGGTTCCTCCGTATTTACTGCTAGACTGGATGACTTACGATCGCCCGCGTTGTTGAATGCTGAGTCCACATCCATCGTGCATTCAGAATACCGATATCTCGCACCAATTTGCCACTTGATGTCTCGCAGCTGCAGATAGTTGTCATAAGGTTGCGGTGCATTGTCGTTGGGCCGAGGCTTGCGAATATCGTACGTATTGAAGTCAGCCTTTTGACTCAGCGGGCCTTCGATAGCGCGGCTGCATGTTTCTATCGCGTTACGGCAAATATATTGATCGCCAGGTGCACACTCATCCAACTCTGGAACGCACTTCTGCCGGAAATCTTGGAGATACGTATCTAGTTCAGCAGCCGAAATGAGCTGACGATGAGAGTTGCTATAGGAGTAATGGATCTGCGACTCCCAGTTGATGTACGGGTCAAACCAGCCATTATTGACGCCAAGCGCAACTAGATTGATTCGTTGTCCTAACGTTTCTCCCTTCTCGATCCGGTTGTTCTGATCCAAGATGTGCTTCGAAAACGCGGGTCCATAGTGGCCTCCATAGCCTTCGGTGAAGATACCAAAGTCGCGGTTTTGGAATCTGGGAAAGGCTTCGTAGAACGCTTGGAGAGCACCCCAGATTACGGCAGCTGACTCGGCCGTATTAGTGTCCGTGATGTTGCCGTACGAGAAGCCAGTGTCGACCGGCTGGTCGATGTATAGCATGTTGGCATATTGGTTGAAACTGTACATATTCAAGGAGGGCTGATAGTTGTTTCCGTAGTAAAATTGACAAGGACCGTTTTCCCGGAATAGACCGATCATGCTTGAACAACCAGGATCCTGACCACCATTGAACCAAGCCGCAAGAGGCGCCGTCTGTGGAGCATTTCTACTTGCGAAGAACCAAAACCAGATGTTTTTTATTTGGTTGGGCGTCTCGAGTACGATATATCCGGAATACTGCGTAACGCCAAACATCATCTCGCAAACCCCGGAGTTCTCCACGTATTCAACCCGAGCCCCAGTAACTGTGGATTGAAAGACACGGTATTCTCTGCCATTCGTTTCGATAGTGCTCCCCTGATTCTGTTCGGTTTCAGGCGGAGCCGTTGAGACGAGGGAAACGAAAAGAAGAAAGGCTGGTAGAAGGAATGACGCCCACATGGTAATAGAGTGCTAACAATGAACGATGGAACATGCACAGGTTTACCAGTGCGCTACGACTCCGATACTCCGCTGTCTTATATACCGCAGGGGTTGATTAAATGAGAAAATGAACAATAGCAAGACTTGTATACACTGAGAGCACAAACAATGGCTAGCTAAACGTGACGGTTACCGCATGAGGGATATCTTGCTCAGAGTCGTGACGTTCTTCGGGACCAACAACTCCTATCACCGTGAACTAGGCATACTGGTAGGTATCCAAGTGGTAGTACTCACTGACATCTCTAATAGATGTGCTTTCTAGGGTTCGAAGATCGATGAATGTGGCCCTGACCTTTGCCTTTCCAGTTTCAACCCGATCTGGGTCTCATCGATCACATTGAATAATGGTAATTCCGATTTGACATAGACTGCGGCATTGACACCTCCGGCATATCGATTTTGAAGTCTTCGAGCAACAGTAAATTGGTCAAGGCATGACAATGTACTGTACCTGAGCACATGGGTCCTCAGTAGTGAGAAACAGGCAGCAAGCTTGGGGAATAGTGCCCAAGATAGGACAAGGCGGACAGTTTAAGGTTAGCGTGGATGTGATCTCCGCGAGCCTCATGCCAGACTAACAGGTTCTCAAACACAGGCATGTATAAGCAGCCGGTTGCAAGAGACCAGATCAACGAGGGTGTGATATATTGGTATGTACCGTGTACGAGGTGACGAAGAGTATTGAAACTTGAAAGTGTGATGTGAAAGTTGAAGCCTTTGATGGTCCATGATCAGGTGCCCACTCTGGGCTGCACGTGATGATAACTAATCTACCAAGCATGGATGGTGCCGCCAACCGAAGCCACTCCCGGGCACGTGCGCTCATGCATCTGATGTCCTCATCCTGGCAGGTGCGCTGGTTGCAGCCGCCGTGGGTGGTGCTCCAGTCCGCTCCGCAGCACAGCAACAACATCATCACCATCACCTCCGCTACCTTCCAAAGGCTCCAACTCTCCCTCATATCCCTCCTCTTGCGCTGAATTGAAACTTGTCACATTGACTCCTACTTGTCAAACTTATTCCAAATAGAGACTAAACAATATTGAGACCGAACATTGAGTTCCTTGAGACGTTCACCTATCGCGCCGTCCTGTATCACCCCGTGCAGGATCCCCGTTGCCGCCTCCAGTCCGCTACCTATTCCCCTCGATCCCGACATCCATGGTCCAACGAAAAGACATGGCTTCGCGGAAGAAAGTTCTCTTGAAGGTTCGTCACCCAACCGTCTGGAAGCGCCGCCCTAACCCCGAGACAGGTGATCATTCTCGGCGACAGCGGCGTCGGGAAGACCTCGTTGATGAACCAATACGTATGTCCCGTGCACCGCGATCCGACGATATGGCAATCCCGTCCCTGACACCGTGATGCGTGATCCAGGTCAACAAGAAGTTCAGCGCCAGCTACAAGGCCACGATCGGCGCCGATTTCCTGACGAAAGAGGTCCTGGTCGATGATCGGTTGGTGACTATGCAGGTTCGCGGCTTCGCACTCCCTTGTACTCCGTCACTCGCTCACGAATGCATAGATTTGGGATACGGCAGGCCAGGAACGCTTTCAGTCGCTTGGCGTAGCGTTCTATCGAGGGGCCGATTGCTGTGTGCTCGTGTACGATGTTAACAATTCGAAAAGTTTCGACACACTGGACAGCTGGAGGGACGAGTTCTTGATTCAGGCAAGCCCTATGGACCCTGAGAGTTTCCCATTTGTAAGACGCATCCTGCAGCTCCACGGTCAAAGTCCATAATTAATATGTTTTCAGGTTGTTCTGGGCAATAAGATCGACGTCGAGGAGAGCAAACGAACAGTGAGTGGACTTTATTTCTACTGAATACCGAAACGACCTGGCTAACTTGATTGTAGATATCATCCAAGCGAGCGATGGCATTCTGCCAGAGTAAAGGGGGGATCCCGTACTTCGAAACCAGCGCCAAAGAAGCCATCAATGTGGAGCAAGCCTTTGAAGGTATGACCGGTTGAATCGTTACACGTGTATGATACTAACTACCACAGTGATCGCCCGGCAAGCTCTCGCACAAGAGGAAGCGGGCGACTTCAACTCGGATTTCCCCGACACCGCCATTGCACTAAACCTGGAAAGCGAGCGTGACGGATGTAACTGTTGATGGAGGGTTCAGCCTAGAGGTACAGAGAGATGCGGGTGTTCTATTGACGGGCACCGTTCTTGCGGTACATGTGAATTGCGTTCCCTAAATCATTGCATTGGAGTTCTTTTGGGTTACTTTATACCAGGGATTTGGAATTATCGTCGTCTTTCCCTCCAGCGAGACCTCATGAGGTGGTTCAGGTTGTAAATAGTCCGGGCATAGCTCTAGTGGCTGAAGGGTCAACCGAGATGTAGGGGAAGGATACTCATAAGTGATAATAGTCTGAACTATGGTCCATCCTTTGATGATCTGGAGCCCGGCATCATTAATGTTGGGTGCACGAATGGTGATGGTAAAAGCCGCAGCTCTGATCCAAGATTCTGTTACTCTAAATAGATGCAGAACTAACATCATCCGTACACAATGCTACACGTATTCTACGCCTCTACCTCCCTGTGCTGGTCGTAAAATGCGAAATTGAGGGACACCGAGAGCGGATAGGTCGATAAGGAGACGGATGTTCATGTTTTGCCCCGGCTTGGCCCTACGACAGTACGACTAACTAGGTTAGATGCACGGTTGCAAAGCTCGCCCATCACTGGGAGTGACCCGGAGACCAGCAGACCAGCGTGACCAACGACCAAACATCCCACGACCGACAGTGACCTACCCATCGCTATCATTTCCGCGAGCGCCGTTTGGATCTCACTTCTCTGGCGGCTCACTGCATCATGGCAGAGCGTACCTACTCGGAGCGATGATGACATCCTCAGATTCCTTGCACGCTGAAGGGCCACAGCGGATGTCGGACCACGACCAGGCCAGTATCGCCGACGCGAAGAGGTTCGCGAAATGGAGGCATATGCTGGGTGTTGCCCTCCTCTTGGTGACTGTCGTTCTCTGGACGGCTTCGAATTTCCTTGCTAGCGTAAGCCACGCCTCCGATCTTTTCTGCGGGATTTAATGTTGTGAACCTGTGATGGACAGGGCAGCAGGCCGCTTCAATATTAAACGATATATGTGCAGGGCAACCGCAGCTGACGATAGTACCAGACTCTTTTCGCCGACAACACCTACTCAAAACCGTTCTTCGTCACCTATGTCAACACGTCCTTCTTTATCATCCCCCTAATCCCTATCCTCGGCCGAAGATTGCATCAGGATCCGTCGCAATGGACCCAAATCCGGGACGCCCTCTCCGACGTGCAGGGCGTCATCACGCTCCGTCGGTTCCGAAAGAAGGCATCCCGATACGAACAGATTGCGGACGAAGAGGAAGACGATGAACAACCGGGCGCCAACCCGCCACGACACCACCGCACCGTATCCCAAAGCCTCCTCGTCGAAGACGGTCCCACCCCGACGACCTCCACCCCTCTCGACCCCGAACCCAAAGACGACCCCGACCGCCCCCTCACCCTAAAGGAAACCGTCAAGCTCAGCATCGAGTTCTCGCTCCTCTGGTTCACCGCCAACTACCTCGCCGCCGCGTGCCTCGAGTACACCACCGTCGCCAGCGCCACGATCCTCAACTCCACCAGCAGCATCTGGACGCTGCTCTGCGGGTCGCTTATGGGCGTAGAGCGGTTCACGCTGCGGAAGCTGCTGGGCGTGCTGGCCTCGCTGACCGGAATCGTGCTCATCTCGTCCGTCGACCTCAGCGGCGACACGGATAAAAACCGCGGGTCGTTTCCGCATAAGTCACATCGGGAGCTGGCGATCGGAGATGTCATGGCACTGGTGGGGGCGGTGGTGTATGGCGTGTACGCGGTGGTGATGAAGAAGCGGATCGGGCATGAGGGGCGGGTGAATATGCCGTTGTTCTTCGGGTTGGTGGGCGCGATCAATGTGCTCATCCTGTGGCCGGGGTTCGTTCTTCTGGATTTGAGCGGCGCGGAGAAATTCCAGTTGCCGCCGACTGCCAGGGTGACTCTCATTATAGCGGTAAGTATCCAGGAAGACAGGATGGAAGAGATAAGTTCTAACACTACACAGGTGAACTCTGCCACGTCCCTGGTCTCGGATTTATGTTGGGCATATGCCATGCTATTTACCAGTCCACTGCTAGTTACTGTTGGCCTGTCGCTTACGATACCCCTTTCTTTGATCGGACAGATGATTCTCGAAAACCAGTATTCTAGCTGGCTTTACTGGGTAGGAGCGGTGGTCGTGCTTCTATCCTTCATCTTCATCAGCAATGAAGAAGCCAAGGACGAGGAACCTGAGGAAGACATATCGCAGCCAACGACTTGATGATCAAGTCAATGCAGACTATCTCCGCTCCAACCAGATACCTCTTCCCGGGGTGTAGGTTAGAGGTATGTTTATAGTATTCGGAATCCGGAGGGATTCCAGAGGTTGGAACAAGGAAATTTCACCCCTCCTCGTCCGCCTGAGCAGCAGCACACTTCTCCTGCCAGTCTGTCAACATCGACCGGACCTGAGGGCCCCAGACCTCCTCTCCCTTCTCGAATTCCTCATACTCCACCACATTCTTCCCTAGCTCGAAGTCGCCCTGGCGCGAACGTACGAGGGCCGACATCATCCCAAGCGAGCCGACCGCTTCGGCTAGATTGTGGCAGAGGGATCGGACATAGAAGCCGGAGGTGACGGTCATGCGGAGCTTTACGGCTGGTGGTGCTGACTGTTCGGGGGTCTCAGGGGTCGCTTGTGCGGCAGCACTTGTAGAATCGCCGGCTTCAGGGAGCGGTGTCTTTATGGTGGGGTCGGTTGTATCTTCTGGAAGTGTCGTAATGGTGGGGTCGGTTGGGTCCTCTGGAAGCTGTGTCTTAATGGGGGAGTCGGTGGTGTCGCCCGTGGTGTCGCCCGTGGTATCGCTTAATCTTATTCGTTTCGACGGCCTCGAGCTGTCGTCATCCTCATCAACGCCTTCCGCATGAGAATCCTTTTCTTGATGCTCCTCCTGTCCCGACGACTTCTCTTTCACCTCCCCGTCTTTGCCATCGTCCGCCCGATCCAGTCCTGAGCCAATCAACGCTTCCGCAGCCTTTTTGGTCTCCGCATCTGCCTCCTCTTCCGGATACTTGAAATCGTGCGTGCCGCCCTCCATCCACTCCACCACCTCCAGCTCAATAACCTCCACGGGCCGCTCCACAATCTCCCTCGGCAGTTCCTTCCCTTCGCGCGCATACTCATACATCCTCTTGCCGTTAACCCGAAGCGCCGAGAAGATTGGCGGCCGCTGCATGATCTTCCCTCGGAACTGTTCCAGCGCCTTTTCCACAGTGTCCCGCGTCAAGTGGGCATACGGCGCCCGCTTGACGATCTTCCCCGTCGAATCGTACGTATCCGTCGCGGCGCCAAACAGGAGTGTCGCCTCGTACGACTTCGTGCAGCCCAAGAAATTCGACAGCGACTTGGTGCCCCGCCCCACGCCGACGATCAAGACGCCGGTGGCCATCGGATCCAATGTCCCGCCGTGGCCTATTTTGATGTCGAAGCCGCCTTTGCGCTTGTACTTCTTTTTCCACGTCGGGTCTTGCGCGTGCCGTTCCTGTTCGGCGGCGAACCAGGGCGCGAAAAGGTCGGATTTATTGAATTGCGGCTTCACGTCGCGGAGGATCTGGGCGGAGGTCTTTTCGGGGGGTTTGTGGATTGCTAGCCGGGGTTAGTGCTCGATTGCCAATTGTTCTGTGGTGAGGATATACCGAAAACGCCCTCCACGATGGCAGGTGTGGAAGCCATGTTTATTGCGCGAAGATGAGTATGGGATTGTTTGGGGACTCGTAGTGGGATGTTCAGCCTGAATTTAACCACGCGGGTTGGATTCATTTATCCAAGCGCCGACGAGCTGGGAGTTTGGTGAAACGACGAGGAACCCTTAAAAGCCCGAATGCTGTTTATGCATTCACTCCAAATGTCCAAAGGTATCGCGATATTCAAGATTTTAAGATCTAGATGCGCCAAGGTACGTACTCACGGTACTGAGCTTCAATGCGACAGGGATGTCGTTCTAGGATCACATGCATATTGTTTTATCACGTGATGTGTTCCAGCCACTATCAGCCACATGTTGACGCTACCTTACCAACAACCTCGGACTCTGCGATCGCCATCATGGGCTCTGATTGCATTCAGCACCCGCTACTCCGTAAATCATGGGGTTTGCACTCCCCGATATCTCTATGAAGTTGTAATCTTAAGTTCCCCTCGTCATGGCTTCAGGTCGCTCTGCCACTCCCACCAAGAGGCTGCTCAACGAGCTACAGTCCTACCAAAATGACCCGAATGAATCCCTGGTTCAACTCGGGCCCGTAAGTGATGACAAGTTGACGCACTGGACGGCCGTGATGCGAGGTGTAGAGGGCACCGCTTATGAATGTAAAGTGTACTCCGATTATGTTCTGAGGGGTGGCGATGCTAATTGACTTCGGTAGACGGCCTCTGGCAGCTCGACATCCAAGTACCCTCTGGATACCCGCATTCTCCTCCGGAAGTCAAGTTCATCACGCCCATATGCCATCCGAATGTCGACTTCAAAGTTTGTCTATACCTAACTTCTATTGCTGTTCGAGAATGCGACTAATCGGTGCAGACGGGCGAGATATGCCTGGATTTACTCAAAACCGCCTGGACGCCCGCCTACACGATTACTACCACTCTCACATCCATCCACCAACTGCTCACCTCCGCCGAACCAGACTCGCCCCTCAACCTTGATATCGCCCAACTGTTCCGAGAAGGGGACTTTGTCGGAGCCGAGAGCTTGATAAGATATTATAGCGATCTATACCGATATAATGGACCGTAACGAGATTATGAATCGAAATAACCGTTCCCCGGAAGACTGTCGATCTTCAATCTGCGCTGCTTGAATTGCTCTCATTCTCCATTGCTGACTTCGCTTTCATTCTCAGTGTGCCATCCGGATGCGACTAATATACGCCCTAGTTGACACCAATCCCCGTTTGAGTAGCCAGGAGGAATTGCGTCGAGCCTCCCAAGAAAGAAGCATCCGCAATGTCGGCCCCGACACTAAAATAGCGCATGATACCTTCTATCTGCCAGAGCCTCCCTCGGGCCGCATCTCAATTTTGCCAACTTGCACCTTTCCCAGCGATCCGCTTTCCGAAAATCCCATTACCTATGTTGATGAGACTTCAATTACATATGCCGGTATTCTGTACTTTTTATTTTGGCTGTAACAATTTCCTTGCAGGGAGCGCTGAGTATCCCAATTCCGTACTGTGCACCTTGCCCAACCATGATGTAAAGCGAAAATCACTCTGCTTCCATATCCGGATTGGCAACTTTACATTTTAAATATTTCGGTCCTTTTAAGTCAATTTGAATTTTTTCGTGTCTTATGCTGCAAAAGTTATATCCACGTGCCCAGGATGCTGCAATGTTGATGGTACAAGGCACGCGCATCTCGGGCCCGAGAGGTGTGATGTGCCACAGTCAATCGGGTGCGAGGGGAAGTCCGGAGGACTAACTCGCCCATATATCAATCGCACACTCTCCCTCCAGAAATATTGTGTGTTATCTGATTTACTATTCATAGCTTGATAATTGATTTTACTGTGTTGGACAATATCGCTGTTGTCGCTTTCTTCCAACCATATCAGGAGTTGCCCAATCCCGCCCAACAGTTACCCCTGCCCGACAGTCCAAGGAAGATATGGGTTCTATAGATCCGCCTTCTCCGCCTCAGGAGAAAGGGGAGGTGTCTAATGGTGAGACTGAGCACCAGTATCCAGAGACGAAACGGCGATTGGTCATCATCCTCGCCTTGTACCTCGCAATATTCCTTGTCGCTCTGGTAGGTACAAAGATGTTCCAAGGCATGTCGAAAACAACGGATTGCTCACGTTATATAGGACAGGATCATCATTGCCACGGCGATTCCCAGCATGACTAACGATTTCCATGCTCTCGACGACATCGGATGGTACGGCAGTGCGTACCTCCTAACCATGTGCTCAATGCAGCTGATCTATGGCCGCATCTACACCTTCTATCCTCCCAAGCTAGTCTTTCTAGCCAGCATCTTCCTTTTCGAAATCGGGTCGGTTGTGTGTGGCGCCGCACCGACATCAACCGCCTTCATAGTCGGACGGGCGATTGCCGGTCTTGGTGCATCCGGCATCATTTCGGGGGTAATCATTATCATTGTGTATACGGTGCCTCTGGAAAAACGACCGGTTTTCGTATCGACTATGGGCGCCATCTTCGGCATTACGTCGGTCATTTCTCCCCTGCTTGGGGGCGTTATCACGGAAAAAGCCACCTGGCGCTGGTGCTTCTATATCAACTTACCCGTTGGAGCGGTTTCGACATTGATTGTGATCTTCTTTCTGACCCTGGAGCCACCGGCTGATCGGGATGCCAAGGCATCCTGGAAGCAACAAGTCATTCGATTGGACCCGATTGGGTCGATCCTGTTCCTTCCCGGAATGGTCTGCTTGCTCCTTGCGCTGCAGTGGGGCGGGACAGAGTACGAATGGAGCAACGGGAGGATCATCGCGTTGCTTGTAGTATCCGGAGTGCTACTCATCCTCTTCGCAGTGGTTCAGCACTTCATGAAAGACAACGCCACCGTCCCCACCCACATCATTTCTCAACGAAGCGTCTTCGCTGGCGCGATCTACGCGGGGTGCATCGGCGGCTCGATGAACCCCCTTCTCTACTACCTGTCCATCTACTTCCAGGCCCTCAAAAATGCATCAGCCACTAAAGCCGGCATCATGAGCCTTCCGCTCGTCCTCTCCCTAGTGGTCTCCAGCATCTTAGCCGGCGCGACCACGCAGACGATCGCCCGTGGCTACTACACCCAGAACCTCATCCTAGGATCCGTCATCGCCTCCGTCGGCACGGGGCTGATCACCACCTTCCGACCGGACACCGGCCACGCGCAGTGGATCGGTTACCAGTTCCTCTATGGTTTCGGCTGCGGGCTAGGCATGCAGCAGGCCAACCTTGGGGCGCAGACGGTCTTGAGTCGAAAGGACGTGTCCACGGGCGTCTCCTTGATGTTCTTTTCGCAGTCATTTGGCGGAGCGCTCTTCATCGCTGTTGCTCAGAACCTGTTCGCTTCGAAGCTCGTCGACGGGGTGGCTGGAATTCCCGGGTTAAATTCCGAGGATGTTCTAAACGTGGGCGCAACGGCTCTGAGGTCGTTGGTGGATCCCTCGCAGTTGAATTATTTGTTGATCGCTTATAACGCTGCTCTAAGGGATGCATTTCGCGTGGCGCTGGGCGTGACAGCCTTCTCAATCGTCGGGGCGCTACTGATGGAGTGGAGAAGTGTCAAGCCAAGAAAAGAGAATCAGGAAGCGAAGGCATAAGCGCTGGGATAATTGGGAACTGGAAGGGTATACATACTGCATGTACGATATCGGTGATTAGATACGGTTATAATAGATGTCCATTCTGCTCAACAAGTGTGACCTCAATCGTCCTCTACGGATGCAAAGAATCGGCTAAGTTGACAGTTGGTGACATTAAGAATTGATTTCGAATGTAACTCCGTGGGGTATCTCCATGTACAGAATTATATACCAATGAGAGACAATACATTTGGAGTTTGTTCTACTTTATATGCGTATTAGACAGGATCGATTTTTGCGATATCGCACAGGATTACCCCTTACCCCACAGCAACATAGGCGCCTGTACGGGGGGGTACGCCTGGACGAAAGTAGTCATCGCCTATACGAGATCTGCCCGCTGTATGCGTTTTTTCATCCTGACAATTCATGACGCTAACCCGTATGGATACCATATACTTCACTTACTTTTCATCTTTCACATTTAGCCTGGCACCTATTCATCTCGCCTATTCAAGATACTTACGGCTGACGGAATTATCCTCTCCAATTATAATGCTTGTGCTAATTTTGACCGTTGCCTAGTATTGACACTGCGGCTTGGAAATCAACTTCTTCATGCAACCTGGAAATGAATCAAAGGACTCTACTAAAGTCCTCGAACTCTCTAAGTTCTCCTGTATACTTTGCAACCATCGCAAAGTAAAATGCGACCGACTTTCTCCATGTTCCAACTGCCAAAAGGCCCATAGCGAGTGCATCTACCGCGTCCCCCCTCCCCCGCGAAGGCGGAAGCGCAAGATCGGGGACGGCTCGCTGGACGTCGGTTCTAAAGATGAAGTACCTCCGGAAGAGAAGCTCCAGATCTACGAAACGGCCCTACGTGGGCTCGGTGTGAATATTGAACGGCTACTAAGGGGGGAAGGGACCGGACCGGAAATCAAAGAGCTAGGAGCCTTTTTACCGAAATCCACCACGAAAGAATCCAGGCCCGAAAGACTTCCCGGGAATGATTGCCGCCCGTCGGCGGGTTCGGAGGACAATCCGAGTGAGATGGGCAAGTTGATCGTCGGGATGGATAATCTGGGCAGATCTACGTACTTCGAGAAGTAGGGCAGTGGACCTCCACCGTTGCACGATGTGAACTGACATACTGGACAGCCATTTATGGAGAGACCTGTCAGATGAGGTGTGTCGATTTTCGATTCGTTCTCAGTCTACCAGGTGTGGAAGGATTTATGGCCCTATCCTTGAAGCATTCGAGCTCCCCAAAACGGGGTGCGACGTGGAGTACTTCAATAGTCTCTTCCTCAGTTCGCAAGACGATTTGGGGGGGCATCGCGACCGACCTCCTAGTAATGTGAAGGCGTTTGGGGGACGGTGCTATATTTCTTTGACTTATCGACCAACCTTACTCTTGAAGCGTTCATATACGATAGGATGTCTAACATAGCCCTACAGATGAAATCCCCCAAAGACCTCGCGTTAAATGACTGGGAAGAAGATAAAGAGCACCAAGACGACGATGGACATCATTCTGCCGCTGATAATCGCCTCGATTCGTTGCTTTTCGGTGTTTCTCCTCTTCTAGCTGACTTGAGAGACCTCCATCCCCACGTGGATCAGATACTAAAGCACTGGAAAGTGTTCAAAGAAAGCATCAATCCGATACTCAAAGTCATCCATATTCCTACCACCGAAGCTAAGGTCATCGAGCTCGCTCCTAAGCTAGCTCGGCGTGAAGAGGTGCCCCTGAGTTTTGAAGTGCTCCTATTCGCCATTTATTGCAGTTCGATCTTTGCTTCATCCCCTCAAGCATGTCAAGCACGTTTCGGCGATTCCTATTCAATCCTATTAGTTAAGTATCAAGGAGCACTGAATCTATCGTTGCAAAAAGCCAAATTCCTGAGTACTTCAGATATGACGGTCCTCACGGCCTTGTTCATATTCCTGTCGTCAGCCAAGAACCACTACGATCCCCAGTCGATATGGACCCTCAGTGGCACATGCCTACGAATTGGCCAGCGGCTCGGCCTTCAACGTGATGGTTACCATCTGGGTTTATCCCCGTTTGAGGTTGAGATGCGTCGCCGGCTCTGGTGGCAGATATGGATGTTCGACGGGTCATTGGAAGAAATGGTCGGATCAGGTAAGTCGTTCCGTCCTACCTGTAACGGTGAACCGATCTGAAGAGTTCCAGGCTCACCACTCCTCGACCGCCTCTCTGACACCCAATTTCCTTGCAATATCAACGATGCCGACATCTGGCCGGGAATGACCACCCCTCCCACCGAACGCACTGGCCCCACTGAAATGATATTCTGCCGGCTCCGCTGGCATATCGGTCGCTTCTTCCGGCACGCCCCGCGCGGGAAAGGCTTCGACGGTCGCTGGGAACTCTTATCCGGCAACCAGTTCACCCTCGCGGAAAAGGACGCGGCCATTGATGAGCTCGAGCAATACGTGGAGCGGCAGTTCGTCCGCTACCTCGACCCGCTGGAGCCGCTTCATGTGCTCTGCTCGATCGCCAGTCGGGCGATTCTGACCACGCTGCGTTTCGTTGCACACCACCCTCGTCAATATGTCAACGATGCAGAGGTACCGCAGGCGGAGCGTGATCTGCTCTACGAACTAAGCCTGAAGAGTTTGGAGTACGTGATTATCTCATTCCAGACGCCGGCGATCGAGCGATTCGACTGGCACTTCCGGTTTCAGTTCCCGTGGCGCCCGTTCATATACCTGCTGCACGAGTTGACCAAGCGGCTGGATGGAGACGACGTAGAGCAGGCGTGGCGGAAGATCGACGAGTTGTTTCGAGGTCGGTCGGATATGCTGCTGCAGTCGAACAACCTGCTTCACGCGGCGGCCGGCAACCTGGCGCTGAAGGCATGGGCGGCAAGGGAAAAGAAGTCGGTGGAGGAGGGGAAGAAGCGAGGGGGGATGGGAGAGCCATTACGGACGCCGCAATTCGTCACGACTCTGAAAGCGCTGAGGGAGAAGAGGGATGGACGATCACGGAATGGAAACGACTCGTGGCGGCAGGACGTGGACGAGCAACTTACAGATGGAGTGACCATGATGGAGGAGCCATTGAACGAGCTTCATGGACTAGTTGATATGTCATCATTCGAATTTGATTTCTCGTTGCAAGATTCGGGATTCAACTGGATGGAATGGGACGAGATGTTGTCTGGCAACAGGGCCTTCCATCCCGGAGGCCAGCAAGAAGATCGACGTCCACAATCCTTCGACGAGGCAATGGGCCAGGCGGGGTGATACAGTCGTCGATGCCGAGACGGATCTACATAGGATGCAGATTAAGCTTTAATCAATTCCTCCAAGGATATCGTCGAGCTGTACATGTACGATACAACGTCAGATTTCAGAAGCACAAAATCACGGAAACTCAGCTCCATCGCCTCCTCTCAATAACACATGCCTAAATGCATCAGCCTATCACTCGGATAACCTTCGTCTTTGACGACCTCGATGATACTCGATCCGGGTACTTTCGGGCATGTGAAATGACCACCAGCCGGATTGTCAACAGATGACCCGTCACATCGACAATATGAGACGCCATCGCCGCCAATGGGTAGCCCGGCTTGCCACGTTGTTCGGGTTTGGTAGCGTGTGACGCTGGGCGGGGATTTCCAACCCAGTCGGGCGCGTGCAACATGGAATCCCCGTAGCCCTCATGGCGCTGCTGGCTGCCAAGTGTGCCCACGACTCTATCCACCCAAGTTTCAGCGTGCCATGATTGCTTCTTTCTCTTTGATACCGAAGCCTACATTTCGTCCGCGTTCAGCTGCCGAAGCTCGAGCAACTCGGCAACGGTACGCGGATGAAATTATGACGAGGCGTTGGTGCTTGATGATGAGGGCGTAACAAAATGACCATCAATGCTAGGAGACGGAACCACTACGATAATGCCTGAACCTTAGATAATACCTAGGTAAGTAGGTATGGCCTGGAATACTCGAGACTTGTCTAGACTTAAATCTACCGTAGATTCGAAGCGAATCGGATTGTTTGCATCAGACTTAAGTCGAGGATCGATCGACTGGGCGCTTGGGTATGCTCAATCATCAATGCTGAGTTGCTGACGGTTGAGGTCTGATCGTCCGAGGACTGAGGAGTCTTCCTTGTTTCGGACAAGAAACAAGGGCACAACTCTACGGTCAGGTCACCAGATGGAGGGTGTACGTGGTATGCTCGTGTATGCGTGAACTCTGCGGTGTGGTGCTTGACGGATGACAATTTGACTTAGCCATCGCCTGCTTCGGGCCTTCGCCGCATCAGTTGTCAGGCTGGATATTTTAATCCCCGTTGCGGCGTTTGCGTTCATAATAGCCACATTCCTCGTCGCTCTCAGCGACCTCTCACTGCTTTTAATGCTCCGACCCCCTTTTCCACCAACTCTCCATTCACCCACTCAAGTGTTTCAACAAACCAGGCGCTCGTATTCTTAAAATCCCACCTTCTCCTGGGTTCCTGACCTTGCACCCACGTTGCCATCCTCGTCGTCACCATCTTTGCTTGTGTTGCTGTGCAATTGATCCGTCCGACCTATCGTCAGCTACCCTCCGATCCTCTCGCTTTCCGATCCCCCGGCTCGTACCACGAGGCCGACCGGATTCTTCCCACACGGCGGCAGCGTGCATCATTGCAGCGTTATTAGATAGAATAGCTGTCACCACGGTGGCGCGACGTTGATCTGATTTCCCTGAGAATACCCTTAAGACTCCCGACCCCGATAGCTGAACGGCGCACTAGAAAGCATTAGTGAGCGACGGAAATTGGTTCGCTCGTTCGCTGGTTCCGTCGTGGCTTGGGTCCCCGATCTTGACTTGGTTCTTCGTCACCCGTGGCGTCGTAATCTCTCGAACTTCAAGAACCTCTGATCCCCTTGGTATTGAAGAAGAACGATCCTGTGCGTATTTCCAAAGCCATATCCAAGGCCTTCGAAGAATTGAGACATACCCATTCACCGGACAAGGTTGGTTGACTTGATCAGACGGTGTCAGCTCCTTTCTAACGGATCATCAACAGTTCCCCAACAGTGCAACAACAACTCGCCGATCTTCATTCCTAAGCGACTGTATATCAGTTCTGTTGAATTCTATCCAATATGACGAACTCCATCGACGTCTTTGCCGCTGTATGTATCCCATCCCGCCAGTCGAATTTCCTCCCCCAACCCATACTCACCTCTCTCCAGACCGGCAACAACCAAAACCCCCGGCACTCCACCTACAGCCAAAACCCCCGATTTTCCACCTACTCGACCGCGCCGACCCTCGCCCCGTCCCTCGCGCCCACGCACATCTCCACCACCCCGTCCCTCACCCCCTCCGAGAAAGCGTCCCCGCTGCTCACCGACCTCAAATCCATGCACGCCTCGCTGCAGCGCATGGAGGACGCCCGGATGCAGAACCAGCGGTACGCCGTCTCCGACGATAAGAGCGAGGAGATCGGGAAGCTGGCGTTGGGTGCGAAGTTGGAGAGGGCGCTGGATCGGAGGTATTCGGGGCAGGATGCGAGCTTTACTAAGAAGAAGAAGGTTATGTAAGCGTGAAGGCGGGTGCGGAAGGGAGCGAATGGCGTATTTGATTGATGCAGGAATAATTCTGTGTTGGAGACGGTGGATTGTTTGCCTACCAGTAGTGCATTGGGATAGGAGGGCAAGTTCCGGTGACGGTTCTAGTTGTTTCGGTACGCTTTGTTTGGCGGGCTCATCGAACGAACGAGACGGGACGCAGAGTCCAGAAGTTAGATGTCAATCACTGTGTTGTCGTTATTTCGATTTGCAATGCTGTTTGAAAGGAGATTGGGGTTTGGATGGGCATGATTTTTGCGAGCGATGGCTGGGGACGGGACTATTCTCTAGGTTTCCTTTTCGTTATATATCAACTACCAACGACAATTCCATGACTATGTATGTCTATGGTGTTAGAGAATATGCCCACACGAATACTACATCGATGTATAGGAGGGGTATAGACTATGGAGAGGTGAGTGACTCCTTAAGACACTCCTGTTGCCTGTAGGTACCTGGTCTTGAGTATAGTATCCACTCCAGGACAGCAATCTTTATGGTAAACTTTAATGGGTTTGTTTGTTGATATCTTTTAGTTAAGCTTCATATTGCGAACTTGTCCTATTCTAATGTGTCTACAATACGAAGACTGAATAATAGTACGGACGGGATCATCTGATGAATGAATCAACAGAATGGCCAATGGATATTCAAAGTTAGTGCCTCAGGCAACAAGGCATAATTTTCTGCCACCGAAAATCATCGCGAATGTTCCGTCGCTCCATCAAATCACTTCACTCAACTCACTCATCATCAGATATTCATTCAATTCCCACTTCTCTCTCCCTGACCGTTCTTCTGATTCCCTATTCTCATCATCAGCAGACACCCCACCACTTCCAATACCCCATTATATCATTTTCAGCCCCGCCAATCCTTCTATCGACTTCTGTCATTGGGTATAACCTGCCCTTCCGAGCATTTCCATCGCCACCACTTGAGATCCTCTCTTGCAACTCGACTTTGTGGACCCTCCACATCCCATATCCTTCTCGAACTCACCTCACATCAGTCAATCACACACTCTCTGATGTATGTGCGCGGATGATATTCGTCTTCAAGCCTTTTTAGACCACTGACACGTCGTGACAGTTCCCTTTCCCTACGGTGCCCTTCCGTGTCCTACCAGAGCGAAATTCTTCAGTATAATATTCCAGCTGGCCGTTTCTCCGTGACGGCTACTCTCCTATTTCAAAATGGCTACCGAAGTTGTTGCACCTACTATCAATGGTTCCTACGCTGGACATAGCGAGGATCCATCCGCCATCATTGCCGCCAATCATGGCGATGCCACTACCACCACCGCTGCCGACGGGGGAGACAAGCCGTATCCCGCCGAGCAGGTCGCGTGGCTGTTCTTGGAGCAATACTACACCACTCTCAGCCATGACCCGGAGAAGCTATACGTGAGTGAAAATCAGCTGTCGCCCATGGAGGGCTACCTTAGCCATTCAGGTCTAACATTTTGATAGCTCTTCTACAACAAGCGGTCTCAATTCATCTATGGCATCGAAGAGGAGAAGGTACCGGTGTGCATCGGACAGCGGGTAAGTAATGGACGACCCCATCCCACTCGAAACTCAATGACTGATCGTATATAGCAAATCAACGAACGCATCAAACAGATCGATTGCCAGTTCGCCAAGGTCCGCATCACGAACGTCGACTCGCAGGCCTCGGACAACAAGATCCTCATCCAAGTTATTGGCGAGATGTCCTTGAAGGCGTCGAACAAGGCGGAGCCCCCGCGCCGCTTTGTGCACTCTTTCATCCTCGCGGAGCAAAGCAACGGCTACTTCGTCCTCAACGATATATTCCGTTCCCTCAAAGAAGATGATGAAGAATATGGAGAAGAGCCTGCTGCAGTTGCCGCTGCTCCTGCTGAGGAACCCGTCACTGCCCCAGAGCGAGCAGTTGCTCCGGTCTCGGAGCCGACCAAGGCTGACGATAGTGCCGAAGGCGCCGTCAAAGAGGAAGCTCCCGCTAAAGAAGCTCTGGTGAACGGGAACGGGAAAGTTGGGCATGAACCCGCTGCTCCCCAACCCGAAGCTGCCCCCTCTGTTCCGGAGCCTGCCGTCGAAACCCCCAAGGAGGTCGTGGAGCCCGTGAAGCCCAAGGAGCCCGAACAAGCTCCTGTCCCGACCCAGCCGAAACCGGCTCCTGCGGCAACCCCATCGGCACCACCTAAGCCTGCTGCACCCAAAACCTGGGCTTCATTGGCTGCATCTGCCAACAAGGTCGCTACTCCCGCGATCTCGGCGTCCGTAGGCCAAGCACGACCTGCTGCTGCTCCAAAGGCTGAGGCCACTCATGGTGCGCCCACCGCCGGCAACGGTCCTTCAGCTTCCTCCCCCTCCGCATCCAAGAAGGACACCCCTACCGACACCGAGTCCGCCGAGGGCTGGCAAACTGCCGGAACCGATCATCACAAGAAGACAAACCGACAATCCACAGCGCAACCCGCCGGTGCCGCTCCCGCCGATTCGCAAGTTGCTCGTGCCTACATCAAGAACGTCTACGACACCGTCGGGGAGGAATCGCTCCGTGCGGCGCTTGAGAAGTTCGGCATCCAATACTGCGATATCAGCCGCCCCAAGAACTGCGCTTTCGTGGATTTCGCGACGCAGGCCGGCTTCAACGCGGCGGTCGCGGCGAACCCGCACCAGGTTGGCACCGATCAAGTTTACGTGGAAGAGCGTCGGGTCCGGCCCGCGAGCGGCTTCTTCGGTGGCCGTGGGATGGGATCTCGCGGCCGCGGCGGTATCGATCGGGGCCGCGGTGGCGTGCAGGGAGGCAGGGGCCGTGGAGGTGTGCAGGGCGGCCGTGGCACTGGCGGAAGAGGTGGTCAAGGAGTGACTGCCTAGAAACCATTAAAACTTTGGCGTCTGAGCTATCATGAGGAGCGACATCGATTCGTCACGCATATTACGGCCTCGTCTGAAACGATGGAAGCGAGGCGCTGACTCTCGCACCGATTCCAAGATTCCTGATTTTCCTCCCCACCACGTCGATGCGCCTTACCGTTCGTCTGCTTCTAATTCCCTTTTCTTTGCTCTTCGCTTAAGCGTTGGGTTTCTCATGGGCGGTTTCCATCAAAAGTCCGTTGCTCTCTTCCGTACTTTCGACGGATTCAAGCTCGGACGTTTTCCTGCAATTATTTAGGGGTTCGAATTTCAATCCCTCGACGCTGCCGCTCTCATTGCATAGCGCGCATCCTGCTCTTTCGAATGTTTTACGCTTTCTCTAGATGGTTCTTGCTGAACTCACGGTCGCGCTGACATTCCTCGCTTTTGATTCCATGCTCGGTCCGGTCGGAGAGCGACGAGCGGATGGTTCGGAGAGGACGGTGGTCCTTGGATACGAACATATAGTGAAAAACGTGGTAGCAGCGGTCGTCCTATGCGACTTCGAACATAACGTGGGACAGGGTCGACGAGGCGAGGAGCTGAGGAATGGTGGAGATGGGAGCGGAATTCCATGTATTATAGCACGTTCAATTCAGCGGGGCATGGCGGATCAGGCATCTACACATAAGTATGGTACCAATATAACACTTAATTGTGGACAATAGCGGTGCGTACGAATGCATAAGCCAGGGATGGTGGTACTGGAGGCCTGGGGCAGCGTGACCATGTCTAGGAGCATCACCCATGCATAAGCTTGACTGATAACAGTTTGTACATCGGATCTTAACCTCTTCATTCAACACCGCTAATTCTCTCTCTCGGATTCTCCCTTAGCATCAGCCGATACATGGGAAACGCCCATAATATATCGTAAAACGGCCGGCCCCACGCCTCGCCTCTACTTGAACGGTCATTAGAGCCCCTCCTGTCCCTGCCCCGCATCCGGAGTGGGACATCCATCCCCATTCCGTATACTAGTACTCTACCGTACCGCAGTTGATGCTCAAACAGCTGAACCAGCTGACGGTTCCCGACACCTACTATATTAACAATCATGCCGCAATTTCTTGCAAATGAGACCGGCCGTGGACCGCCTACACGATCACCGAAATCCAGCTCGTCCGACGCAACTACACCACGTGCATCCGACGATATGGCTCCGACGGAATTCTTTATCAGAAGCGCAGAGGAGATGAACCTAGATACGGAAGAGGATAGGAAACTGGAGGAGGAGCAGAGTCGGGACTTTACGGTGAGAACCATGGGAAACGAAACGGGGACGCAAGACACGTCTAGCGTTTTCGGAGTGCAGTCGCTCGAGGCAATAGAAGGTTCTCCCATTACCACTTCCACCCCTCTCTCTATAGTCGCCGATGAAACGATCGACAGCCCTACAGCTGGCGGTGGAATCCCCTCCACCTCCACGGACCCTTCCACGGCTGAGCTCCTGTTAGAGGAAGGCCCCACTCCTCCCGCGGACCCTCCACCCCTCCCTCCAAACTACACCACCAGATTCGCCACCCGCCATCTCCGCCGCCCGTCCCAAACCTCGCTGTCGCAGCCCCTCACGCCGAACCTCTCCCCCCACCCTTCCGCCGCGCCCAGCACGCCCAAGTCTATATCGCTGCAGAGCCTACGGCTGTCCGACACCGACGATGACGACGACGTAGCGAGCCAGGCAGTCACCTCCGGCGGCGAGGAGGGCGACGAAATGCACATGCGACGAAGTCGGCGAACGGTGGGCCGGGAAAGCACGCTGAGCATCCCGGAGCTAGTGATGCCGTCGCTGCAGATGCCCGCGCGGCGACCGTTCACGGACGTAGGGCGACGGATGGGGCGGCTGAAGATCATGGTGGTGGGGCGGAAGGGGGCGGGGAAGTCGTCACTGATCCGGTCGATGGTGCAGGTGTGTGAGGATATCGTACATATAGACCCGGTGCAGGAGCGAGGAAGTTGGGGTGGGGGGATGGAGTGGAGGGGTGCGTCCGGGACGACGAGGATTACGGAGATCGCGGCGAGTTCGAGGCCGTTACCGGGTTGGTGGGCGGAGTTGAATGAGGGGGCGGGGATGGCGAAGAGGAGGAATAGCGTCACGGATGTGTTGGACAGGAATATTACATTCGTTGATACTCCGGGGCTTGGCCGTGCAAGAGACGAAGAGCTGCTGCGGTACGTCGAAGGTCAATCGTTCAAGAGCATTTCGACCGCGACGATGAGCGACACCGAATTATTGCAGTTGATGTGCGGCAATGGAAGCCAGGTCGATTTAGTCCTCTTCCTGTTCGGCCACCAGGAAGAGTTGGACGTGGAGATGCAGATGCTCGAGCGACTGGCGCAGTCCACCAACGTGATCCCCATAATCAGTCGTTGCGATCTCCTGTCCGAGGAGCAGCTGGGAGACCATCATGCCAGGATTGCCGAGTTACTCCAACGATCCTCTGTCAAAACGGTCTCCCTCGAGCGGCCACTGCCCATCCGCCAACACCGCCCCGACTCATTCGGCGTCCGCCCCGTCAACCTCGGCGAATACGCCGCGACCTCCGGCATCGACAGCGCCGTCTCCTCCTCCTTCCTCTCGACGACCGTGCCCACTGCGCCGTACGTCGTCTCCTCCGCCCCTGGCCCCGACGATGAAATCGACGCCAGCCTCCTCATGTCCAGCACCTACCTCGCCCCGCTCCACCCCTCCGACCTGGACCCGCTCGTCCACTGGCTCTTCCACCCGGACAACATCGCCTACCTCCGCGCCTCTGCCGCCCACAAGGTCGTCCAGTGGCGAAAGCGCGCCGGACTAGCCGTCAACCCTCGCGCCACCGACCGCATCCCTCCCCCCTTTTCTCGGATCCCCACATCCCCCCTTTCAGGACCCAGAGCCCCCTCGTCATCGCCTTCGTCATCCGCTATAACGGCAGCGTTTCCCGGTTCCGCCGCCGCGTTCCGCGCACACGTGACACGCGAAGAACGCCTCGCGCAACTTCGCCTCTCCCGGTGGGCGACGGAACTGCGCGGCACGGTGAGCGCGGAGCGGGAGCGGTACGAGCGGCTTACTGGCGATGAACGAGCGGAGTGGTTGGCGCGGCAGCTGGAGCGGGAGGTGGCGAGGGGGGGGCTCGTGATCTGCGAGGGTGATGGGAGACGTCCGGATGAGCAGCGAGGGATGGGATCGAGTTCCAGTGTGGGAGCTGCGAGCAGATCGGATGGGAGGGTTGCGGGGAGGGTTTGTGGGAGGGTCGTCGGTCAGTTTCGGCAGGGAGAGCAGGAATTGGTCCTCGCGCGGCCGCCGCCTGCGGGGTCGAGTGGTAGCAGGGGGGCGGAGGGACGAAACCCCGAGGCCAGGCGCCGGCGGAGGAAGGTCCTGGGGGACAGTGGAGTCCCGGCGTGGGCGCGCCGCGCAGAGAAAGAGAGGGTAGGGAGTCTCGGCGGAGTGGCGTGGCAGACGGTGCAGTTGTTGAGCGGAGTGTCGTTCGTCGGGGCCGTGCTGATTGCCGTGGTGAGGGGGTGGGGAAAGCAGGGAGAAGCGCTGAATTGGGGTTGGGGTTGGTAGTGGGCTAGGTATGAAAGTCGAGGAAGATGATACGAACTCGGAGGCAGTCCTCTAGCTAAACTACACAATATATGCACATCGGAGATAGCGGGAAATCCGGCACACCGCATTCATCTATCAGTCCGAGCATCTACTGCTGTTCATGAATCAGAATTCCGAGGTATATGTGCCGTTGTCCCACAAGCAAAACGAGCCTATGAAGTAACAATCACAAGCATCATGATCCTCGACGACTTAATATATCAAGTTTCTGAAAAGGAGTAGGCGATTGACTACTTTAGACGAGGGAAGTGCTCCTAGCTGCCACAGTAATATTTTAGTTACGAAGATGCGATGTGCACCATTGACGACCCACGACAAGCAACCAGGCCTGCATTACGAGTATCTAACTATATACAAGTTGTTCCATAGACATCGCTAACTAATCTCGGCCCGCTCACATAACCAAACCTATGATCTAGAACTGAATATAGTCGCTCCAAGCCGCCGCGCCGTCGCCAAATGTCAGCCGGTTGTCCCTGCCAATACCCATCATAAATCGCCGTTAGATGCATCGAAAGTCATTGCTCATTCTATATTTTGTCGTGAAGATCTCCGTTCTTCTCCGTTCTTATCTTCGCCGTCATGTCCGCCTTTCTACATCTTCTCCATCATTCTGTTGACCATGGCCCTGGCCCTGCTGCCCTTGCCCTTGCTGCCCAAACCACCACCTCACCCCATCCATACTCCGGCTACTCCTCCCCCCGGGCGTCAATGGCACCTCCACACGATTCCTCCTCCCCGCCGGCGCCTCGTCGTCGCTGCCGCTCTCCCCCGCGTACGCGTCGCTCAGCCGCTGGAAGTAGTCCGCGAGCCCCGTCGTCGGGTTCGCGATGCTCTCGTAGTGCGGCGGCGGTGTCTGCAAGGGCGGCGGCGGGTCAGAGTCCGCGAGGGAGAATGCGGGGGGGTTGAAGGAGGGGGTGCGGATGAGGTGGACGGGGCGAGAGGGGGCGGAGGGGTCGCCCGGGTGGGGGTT